GCAAAATGTAGTTGAATTTCAAACAATTTGTTTATATATATTTGTTAGCGAGGTTTAAAGCATATTTACTTTTTATTCCGGCCAAACATACAAAAGTACATACAATGTCCCTACTCGCTTCGTTATACTGTTACAATTTGTCAAAGTTGTACATTTGATACTTGTGGTACACAAAATGATTTATAACATAAAAATATAAAAGAAAATTCAATCAGAACCAATTCGGCTGAGTGGGTAGTGATCAGTGAATATATGTATCGTCTTTTCATTATAATGCATATATGTCTCAAAAATTTGCTGGATATTGGGCCTTATTGTAGCGATGGCTCTTGAGTACATCATTTCGCTTGACTTTCGAACATAAAAAGAATTTCAGTTAAGTTCATTTCGTTTAAAATTGCTTAGTTAAATTAATTCATAATAGTAGTAGTAGTTGTTGTTGTTGTTTAGTTTTGTATACTCTCATTATAAGATATTAATTAAACGCATGTGGCTTTGAGCGAAAGAAAAATTGATAATCAGACTATATTAAAATCAAAAGTCGTTACATAATTACAAAGAAAAACACAAGTGCGCAGCATTGGGGATTTTGTTTTTCATTTAAATACCTATTTAAATTTGCTTATGTTTTTTGTTTTTCATTTAACGTTTTATGCTGTTCTTGTTGCTCTTTGTTTTTCTGCTTTTCCCTTGTTTAAGGACGCATGTCTATAACAAATACTACATAAAGCCAGTGTGTGTGTGTGTGTGTAATTAATTAATATAATTAAAAATGAACATACAAGCTATCAACTACAGTTAGTTGTAAGTGGGTGTGTGTGTGTGTGTGTGTGTGTGTGTGTGTGTGTGTGTGTGTGTATATATAAGCAGTTGCCAAGCCCTGCGGGCAGGGGCTTTTTGAATCTCTCAGCGCACAAAAGCATTGCACAGTCGGCGCATTCTTAAATACATTTTAAAAATTACATAATTTAAATAATTTAAATATACACATGTGTGGCCCCAAACTACGCTTATATCAAACGAAAAAAAAAAATTATATCATTTATATATTTATGCATATAAATTTATAGAATAAGCACAATGCATGCCGTATCGGAGTAGAAGCATGGCGCGAAGGCGCTTTACATTCTCCAAATTTGTTCACTTTTTTTTCAAAGCTAAGCCGTTTTATAAATGTTTTTTGTTTTTTTGTTTTTTGTATTTTTGTTGCTTTTCAATATATATATATAATTGTATTTATGTAATCCGTAATCTACAGAATGCCCAGGCCCTCGTCAGATATCAACACACAACGAACGATACACATTGAATGCCAAACGCAATTATTAAACTAATCATCAGCCGCGTTCATTTTAATATTTCATGGGCTGTGGAATAAGATTGTAAATTGCTTCTTTGTTGCTTATATTTTGTTAACATTTAGCTCTCGACATGGCCCAAACAGTTGGCAATGCTCTGCTGCTCATTATATGTGCAGCAGCATTGGCAAATGTTTGGCCTTTGAATTGTTAACCATGTCGGGAGAGCTAAGATCTGCAGTGCATGTAAAGTCCATTTGTTTTGTTAACGAGTCTGTGCATGAGGTTTTTCTTTCTTTCGATTTATATTAGTGTGTGTGTGCTGCTGTTGCTAACCTGCTGCTGCGCTGCTGTTGCTGTTGCTATTGTTGATGCTGTTGTTGTTGTTGTTGTTGCTGTTGTTGTTGTATGTACGCATTCAACACTCACTTTGGGACAGATCAATGTCCTTTTTAACGCTACGCGCCAACCGATCCAGCTCGGCAGCCGCATCTGAGCGAACGGCTAGCTTCTCGGCCGTCATGAGTGAATCGGTGCCATTAGATGTGCGTGGTGTGCCCATGCCGCCACCTGGGCTGGCTGCGCCCGCCGGTCCACCAGCTGGTCCGCCCGACTTTTTGTGTAGCAGCGAGTTAAAGAAATTTGCCAGCACACCCTCGCCGCCAGGCGTTGCAGGCGTCAGCTTGGGATCAATCTATAATTGCAAATGGATATGCATGAGAAACGTGTGAACACTCGGCTTGGCAGCTGTGCTGTCGTCAATGTGTTTCGATAGCTAATTCAGCTATTTTGTTGGCACAAACCTTTTTGGGTGAACTCTGACCGGCGCTGCCAGGTGTGCGTGGTCCGGTTTTATTGCCGCCAGAGCTGGCGCCCTGCGATCGCAATGGCGACTCGCCGCGCACCTGGCCGCCCTGCTTGAGTATCTCCTGCTGGCGTGCCAGGAAGGCCTGCTCGTCCTCGGTCTGCACCTCCGTTTCGCGATTGGAAACGGCCTGCAGCAAATAGAGAAGCAGAGAAGAGTGTTAATTGAAGCTACCAATTGTGGTGAGTCTTCTAAATGCACCTTTCGTGTGGGCGGCGCCTTGATAATATCTGTGTAATGATTCTCGGCCTTAACCGCATGCATGTTCTCATACAGAATACTTATTTTCTTGAGGCTATCCCAGCCAGCCGGACTGTAATAAACAAAAGATAAAAAGCCATTAAATTTAAATGAAAGGGAAAAGGGAACTTAACGCACATGAGGACCGCATCCTTTTCCACGACTAGCGCTGGCGTACGGAATGGTAGACCATAAATTCGATGCGTTAGATATTTATAAAGGAGATCACAGTTTTTGTCCTCTTTCACGCTTGTGTAAAAGAGCGAGGTGCCGTGCCGCAGACAAAAGTTTCGTATCCATTGCTGTATGAAATCGAAATGCTCGTCGCGGTACTCATACTCCTTCTCCAGCGTTGACATGTAGTCCGTCTATATGGGATAAATAAAAAAAACGATATAAAAAAAAACTTGACTTGGGTGTGTGTGTGTGAGTAGATGCACCTTTGTGACCACAACAACAATGTCCAGGCCCAGGTTTGTAATTAGTGCGTCCTCTGTCAGCGGCAACAGATCATCCTCATCAATTGAATTGTTGTGCATGGTGCGTTTAACCGGCGAACCGGGATCCAAATCATCGCCAACCTCACAGTAGCTCTGCCACGTCGTTGCGAGGCGCTGGCGTGCCGCCTCCTTCTCTTTGGGATCTAATTGCAGGCTCTCAATGTGCTGGGCAAGCACTTTGATCCATTGATTGAGCTGCTCGAGCCAGCCCCATGGCTGTGTCATCGAGACTGTTAGTATGACGAGGGTGTGTGCATAGTTCGTTTCGTTTAGCGCATAGTGCAGCAGATTTGTGTGTCCTGGATCACCATCCAAGACCCAAACGCTCAGGCGCGTCATGTCTGCAATATGATAATGTTTCTCAATTAAAATAAAACCTTCAAGCAAATTGCTTTAATACTAACCGTCTCTGTACTCATCCTTGACATCAATATAGGCATACTCCAGGCCGGAGCCCTTCTTCGGATCCTCAACGCCCTGCAGCTTGGCAATGAGCGTCGTCTTACCCGTGGCATTGTCGCCTAATACTAGTACAGATTTATTTGACGGTAGTTTTGTGCTGCCCTGTGTTTGTACTTCATTCAATATCGCAGACCTGGAAACAAGATGCAACGAATTGGGTCAGTATGCCGTTGGCTGTATCAAAATTTTGTAATCTACATTAAACGCTTGGCCCCAATTTCGTGTCCCCCGCTCTGGCCAAGATCCGCACCCCTGCCGCCGCCTGGCCGTACATATAAAACACAATTCTGAACACTGTGTCATGCCACGCAATCAAACTAATTGCATTCCTGTGCTATTTATGGGGCTAAACTTTGTTTCTTTAGTCCCATTTATAGGTATGTATGTGCACACGATGTATATATGTGCATGTATATGTATGTATATAGAGTTAAGAAAGCATTCATGCAATTTCAGCTGGACGTTTCTGCAATTCAATTAAATATTTCAATCGAAAGGTGACCAACTAACTAACTAACTGACTCACTAACTCGCTCACCCACTTATTTGCTGACCAACTGACCAACTGAATACCTGATTGACTGACTGACTGACGGAATGACTAACTTGTATGACATGCAAATGACGGTTACTCAACTGGGGAAAGCTGGACGCCGGCGCTCCTTCGTGCCAAAAACTGCGTACTGCGAATATCGATTGCCCGATTTCTGACGATTTAAGCTCATAACTATTCTCTTCTATTGAATTTTCAAAGGTGTTGCACGATTCACAGTGGTTCGAAAGCGATTTTTTAAAATTAAACAATGTTTTTATTTAAAAACCTATTAAAGCAATAAGTCTTTATTCTTTTTCAATTTTTATTCGAGGTAAATACAAGATGTTGGCTTCAGTTATTAATAAAAAAAAAAACCTTATAAAAGCATAAAGGAAAAAAATCACCCTTGTAGACTTTTAAAAATCGGATTTGCTTCCCATGAAAATATTCTAAAAAATATATATATAATGCTAAGAAAACTATTTGGCGAGTATTTTTTAAAACTAAAAATCCACAATCTTCCTATCTGTCTTATATAAAATTAAATATATATTTCAAAAAAACATCATTTCATGAGCAAGCATAAAATATAATCTAAATATATAGAAATCTAATTTAATCTAATCGAACTTTTTCCTTAAATAAATTCAGAGAATAAAATAAAAAGACAAAACTTTATACTTTAAAGTGCACGAATTTGGGCATAGTTGTTAGCAAGTTATGTCCCACTGTGCTTGGGCTGGCATTTGGCTAAGGGAGGTTGGCTCGCTCGGTTCACACTTGACATGCAAACAACCCGGCAACCGTGCCCACCCCTTGGCTATGGCTCCCCCCGCTCGTATTCCAGGCTGGTTGGCATGGTGCACGAAAGGCCCAAACGAAAAATATTTTCCAAGCTTTTAAAGTTCGCCTCGCTGAAAGGCAGGCGAACAGGCCAGGCAGGAGGCAAGACAGTTCGGCATTACCAATGCGCACTTTGGCAGCGCCACGCGTTAAAAGTGGATCACAAATTTCTTGCGCCGGACCAGAGTCCGAGTCTGAAGTGCACAGCCAGCAGAAATCGAGGAGTTCGTTAGGTTTGTTAAACGCCAATTGCCAGGATGAGTTTGTTGCTGAAGCGACGTTCGCGCAGCGAGACGCGCGCTCAGCCCGTCGCGGTGCAAAGCAAACAGGAGTTGTCCAAAAAGCAGCCGCATCAGCAGCACCAGCTGGCGTCCAGCGTGGAAAGGGACAGAGAAACGACTATGCCGCGTCTGGGTCTGGCTGGCCCAGGCGCTGGCATGGGCAGGCGCAAGACATCCGCAGAGCTCATCAGCGAGGCGAAACTCTATCTGGGCGACCTGTCCACGGCAACGGCAACAATGACAGCTGCTGGCGGCGCACGCTTGGTAAGCACGCGTCGACCCATAACGCCACGTGAGCCGGGACGTGTGCTCTACGGCAAGGTGGCATTGGCCGGCCGTCCGCCCAGCGCCTTCTCGTAAGTAAACAAAGCTTCTTCAAGTGCCTTCAAGTGCTCCAAGCGCGAAAACTACTCCACAGCATGCGATATCTGCAGAATGAGAATCATAAGCCGCTGACGCCGCCAACGCCAGCGGCAGGCACCGAGCTACTGTTAAGTCGACGCAATGTGGACGCCAAGCCGGCGCCACCTCGTCAATTGCCAGCGCTGCCGGGCGCTGCGGCACAGTTAACTCCAGCAGCAGCCACAATGCACCCAATGCAGCCCGCACGCAATGGCGCCCTGCTTGGCCAGTGCAGCTCGGAGATGCTCATCGAGATGCTGAAGCAACATGCTGGTCTCAAGGATTGCAGCGCCGAGACAGTGCAGCACATCAATGCGGTGGGTGCTGGTGCTCGTGAAGTGTCCATTATTTAAAAGTATCTAAAATTCACATCTTTCCCGCCCGCAGATTCTGCTGGAGCTATATACGCGGGTGCACAAACAGGAGCGCAACTTCAAGCGCGCCTTTATCCTGGGCGGACTCTATGGCCTGGTCGAGTGCACGGCGCCACGTATCCTTTTGGCTGTGGCACGTGTCGTTCTGGCGGTGAGTGTATTCGAGTTTTTGTCCTTTAACTATTTATCGATACATGCACATATGCGATAACGATAGCATAACATATCGATCACTTGACCGATTTTTTCATATTTTTATATATTGGTGCGAACATAAATAAATATGGTTTCATTTTGAGTCTTCTTCTTCGAGAATAGGTATATATGTATATCGATACACATTTTAATCGATTAATCGATTTCTCGCTAACTTTGGCATCCTGTCGTTCACAGTTACGCGTAACGGGCAGCAATTTAACCGGCGCCTGCAAGCTAATCTTCAAGGTGGCTCGCCACGAGCAGCACGACGGACTGTTCCATGAGAACGATGTGCTGGAGCTGCTGATCGATGGCTTGGGCCATGCTTCGCCGCTGGACGATCCGGAGGCCTGCATTTATGCCTATGGCTGCATACGATTTCTCACCGCGAGCAGCGCCCAGGAGCGCGACGATGCGCTCAATCGCAACTGGGCCGCCGGCTTCGAAGAGCTGCTGCCCCCAACAATCGCAGCAGCCACAGTCCTAACAACAACAGAAACAAGAACAACGACCCTGCAAGATTCACGCAAGCTAAATGGCCAACAGACACTGGTGTCCCGCCTGGCACGTCACGGCGCTGTGGAGCTGATGATACTCCATTTACAGATGTTGAACGAGGCGGGCGCCACGCGACGCCTCAGCGGCCCGCCGCTGCACACCCTCTACCAACTGTCGGCAGCACTGCGCGCTCTAGCGGATGTGGCCCAGCAGCAGCAGCGACTGCAACTGCAATTGCAGCTGGCGTGCCCGCATCTGATACGCGCCGCCGAGGTCTCCATGGGCGAACTGGAGGTGCAGGCCAATGTGGTGCGCACACTGAGGTGAGCTACTCGTCGTCGTCGTCGGTTTTTCTTTCCACTTTAATCAAATACTTTCACTCTTCTTCTGGCTCAGCGTGCTGTCGGAAGATCTGGAATGCTGTGAGACACTGCATAACTATGCAGCCCGCATTGGTCTGCTGCTCGGACCCTACTCCAAGGGCGGCCAGTGCAGTGAGCGGCTCTTGGCCGTGCTCAGCCGGCTGGGCTATATGCTGGGCAATATCTTGGCCAAGCATGAATCCGCGCGCGTTCAGGTGGGTGCACTTTTTAGTATTATATTTTCAATTGTTTTTAATTCAAGTTTTTTGTTATTCATGATGATTTATGATTTATCATTAAAACATTTTCTTCTTTTAAATATTATTATTTATATATCATATTAATTATTTATAATTATGAATACAATTATAATTAGTAATAAAATAATTGTTTATATAAGTTTTCTTTCCTTTGAACTATTTTCATGATTGTTGAATTTTTTTTAATTATTTCTATTAATTATTCTGAAATTATTTGTGATTATGATTAATAATTATATTTTTATTGTTTTTTATTATTGTTATTTTTTTTATTTTTTATTATTTTTATTTATTTATTATTTAGTTTTTACATTTTTATATGAATTGATTACTTTGAATTACTTTCAATGGTGTTTCGTTTCATTATTCCAATTCGAATCATGTCAATTATAATTTTCCTATTGGATTTCGTAATGTGTTTAAGGTATTCCCTCTCAGTTTTCTATATGCAATTCATGTAATCTGTGTGTCCTCCCCTTCCAGTACTATCAAAACGATGTGGCCATGGAGTATCTGCTGAATGTGCTGCAGCAGCTAAGCGAACGACCGCTGGGCAGCGAGGCGCTGCTGGATGCCCAAATCAAGCTGATACGTGTAGTGGCCAACATGAGCGTCAATGCGGATGTCGGCGCTGGGCTGGGCAATGTGCATGGTCTGGGCGCTGTGCTGTTCCGCCTGCTGCAGAATGCAGCTGTGGCGCTGGATAGATCATCAACAACTACTGAATCCGCACAACCGCAGGCTGAGCTGCTGGAGCTGCTGCATGCAACGCTCGGTGCACTTCACAATTTATGCTTCTACCAGGACAACCAAACGGCAACGGCAACAACAACAACAACAGAAACGACAGAAACGACAACAACCACGATACCGTCACCCGGTTCGCTGCAGAGTCTGATTGCCGAGCTGTCGACGGCCCTGGCAGGCACCTTGAAGCGGTGTCAGGGTCAGTATGTGTCCACCAAGGTGGAGCTGGCCCGCGTGCTGGGCAATTTGACGCGCAACGAGCTGGCGCGACGCCGTTTCTGCGCCGCCGGCGGTTTGCCCTTGATGGTGCAGCAACTGACGCGGCAGGCGAACGGCCAGGATTACGAGCTGCGCACCTGTGCCATCGGAGTGCTGGTCAATTTGTTGGGCGATGGCGAGCAACGGGCACCATTTTTGCAGCTGCGCGGCGCTGAGCTGCTGGCGCTGCTATTGCGCGGCGCACTGGAGCAGGAGGATTGGTTTCTGGCCAACATTGTGTGCCAGGCGATGTGGAATCTTCTGATCGATGCCCAATGCGCGACGGCCCTATGCCAAAGTGGCAGCATACTCGATGAGGTCAGCGATCTGCTGGCAGATTACTTGGATGAAGAGCGTCCGATTGTCGGCGACGAGGCCAACGAGGATGAGGTCGAACCAGGCAAGAATAAAGAGCCGGAGCTCGATTTGGAATCGGAGCCGGATGCATTGTGGGAGGACTTTGCGCTGGTGGCTACCGATTTGTTAGAGCGGATACAAAACAATTTCGATAAGCAGCAACAGCGACAGGCGACGCACATCGATATCGATGACGGGAACGATAATGAAGATGTGTTTATCGAAAAATTGTAAAACATTCTTTAAGACTAAAAGAATATACAAATATATACAATTATCGATAAAAAGCGATTTTGAATTGCCAGCAAGTCGATGCAACGAAAGGGACACAACACACAGTTATCGAACTTAATCGATATTTGATTGTCTAAACAGTTACGGTATTTCCAATTTGAGACCAAGTCTGTGCAAACGTATTTTGATCGATTTTGAAACATCGATTATTGATACCTAAGCCAAACAGGTCTTTAATATATTTGCAGTTATAGATCAAGGTCGTAATATGAGCGTCATATATAAACTAACGAATTTTATGTCGTTTATCAAGTTTCAATAAATTAAGCCAGCCCAATGCTAGGAAAGATTTCCATATCAAATACAGTTGAGAAACATAATACAGTTTTCGATAACACTACCAGGAGCTAACAAGCCTTTTATCTGTAAATTGAGCCTGCGCATTTCTATAAAATTTCGATAAGTATTTACGGTTAACATGTTTTGGTCATTTCCTGTTAATGTAAATAGACTTTTACACATGTTTTCTATAGCATTCGAAATCGATCTGCGTCGCTAAGACGTTCTGCACATGCGCGCCCCCTGACGGTCAACTAGAAACGTACACATGTACATATTTAAGCGATGACAACATCGCCAACACTCACACACACGCAAACCACATACACGCACAAGCTTGACTTAGAGCGGCTCTTCGTTCATTGGACAATGCAAATTCCAATTGGATTATCAACAGTCCAAATGAAGCCGAACTATCGATAGCTCAGCTTACGGCTTTGCAAGTGTGTAAACATGTGTGCCCATACACATCTGCCCGCGTGTGTGTGTGTGTGTGTTTTGCCTATTAGACATACAAAAATTGATAAAGCAAAAAGGTGCGCGCTGTCGACTGCGCAGCCAGCGACGCTGCCCTCGATTTTGCTGCTTCATGAATCATTCGCTCTTTCTGTCTCTCTCTCTTTCGCTCGCACTATTTCACACTGCATATTAGAATTGTTGTTTTAGAATTTAGTCTGTGTTTATGCCACAAATCCATTAAATTGGCACAAGAGAAATTGCCAAAATACCAAATATATATAAAATGCGCATATGCGTACAGGTGTGTGTGTGTGTGTGTGAACCAAACGTGGTTTGAGGTTAGGCGAATGTTGTACAAAATGACAACATGCACTAAATTTAAAAGCGGCATAAAATCAGCTGCTTTTTTGCTCCAACCAAAGGTTGTGGGTGTGGCGTAAGCAGCCTTTGCAGCCGGCACACACTAACACACACATATATATGCAGAGTAAAAGTGAGATAGCGTTAACCGAAAATTATTGCAAACGTCAGCTAAAGAAAGTCAAAAAATAGATGGCCAAAAGCAGCTGTTTTGCCTAAAGGCAAGAAACAAAAAGAGAAAAAAATAGGCGCGTCATATGATAAAACGCTAAATGCACACACACAGACACACACACACACAGGCATGCAGATTTCTTCTGCCTAGGCTGAAGCTCAACTCACCAGAGATTCTCCTTGTCGGCTGCGGCGGCATCCTTCTTTTTCGTCGTAAAGGATGATGTCAGCGCATTGCTGCCCGTCATCGTTTGCGTGACGCTGTCCAGTGCCATTGCAGTGTTGGTTAATAACTGCTCCAGGCGACCTCTTCACCTCTCTGTTGTTTGCCTGTTCCTTGGGTCAGTGGGCAGAGCTGCTGCGGGATGCACGGGAAAACGTTAGAGCAACACAAGCAATTGCACGCACACGCACACGCACACACACAACAATAACAAAAACAAAAACAGCAACTGAGCTGCATTGAACTTGGTAGACAGCGGGCAGCAGGAGTGGCAGTGGCTGCAGTTGCAAGGTGTCTGTTTTAGGAACGCCTACGCCAGCAGCGACGCTTCCGCTACTCCGTTATGTTTGCGTTTATGGTTACGTTGCAGCAGAGCAGCAGCTGCGACAGCGACGCCGACGTCGCGACTTGACGGAATGACAAACGCGCAGATTATGTATATTTAAATATTTTATTATTGCAGCGTGCTGTATATACGCGTTTGTTACGCAGCCCAGCTGCTGCTGTTGCTGTTGCTGCTGCTGCGACTGCTATCGCTGCCGTCTGGCTGGCTGACCGTCTGTCTCTCTATGAACAATTTGCAAAATTTCTTTGCGTTTGCTTTGTTGTTTTTTTTTTCTTTTTTTTTCTACGTACTGCAGCTTTTAGTCGATTTAGATTTGAGCACTCCGCTAGCAATTGTGATCCGTGGCACTAAATTTGATTTTTAGCGTATGAATTACTGCATCTGACGTTCGTTACTTTGTTTTGAGTTATTATTGAATAAAAAATAACAACAAAAAATATACGCCCGATATTGAGATGATGAATTTTTCGCTGAAATAATACAACGAAACTAGACACAGTGTGTACACACAGCGCCACAATAGGAAAATTGTTTTTAGTGCTGCCAAACGAAAGCAAGCAGAATGTCTGGCAACGCTAAACGCACTGTTGCATATTATTTCTGTTATGAAATGTTAGGTGGCAACGCTTAGTCTCCGTTACAACAACAAATACACAACAAAAGCAATTTAAGCTCTCACTACACTTAGCACTTTAGATCTATACGATCTGAATACTCAATTAGTTTAAAATCTATCAAAATGCAAGCCTCTGTGTTCATTATCACTGTGATATTCGTTATAATAGCCAACAATGCGCCTCAGATAAATGGTACGTTTGCTCTGCGCAAGTTTGCTGCTTATTAAAGTCTTTTGTTCAACATACGCACGCACTTGCATATATATATATATATATATATGTATATACACGTAACGTAACTGTAACTGCAACTGCGCATGTGTGTGTGCTGGTGCGTAATGCACAAACGAAAAATGACAACCAAGTTTCTCTTTATTGCTCACAGCCCTTCTGCGTCGCTGCTATCAATGCCGTTCCCGTGGAGAGCTGGGCAGCTGTAAGGATCCATTCAGCTTTAACGCTACCGACGTGGACAGGGAGCCAGGCCTATCCGCCATACCATGTGCCAGCGGCTGGTGTGGCAAAGTGATCGAGGGCGGCGGTACCTATGCGCTCGATGGTAGGCACGACCCCTGCATACCCTATAAAAATGATTTTAATCTTTTTTTCTTGTTTTTCATATGCAGACTACGATCTGGCCATACAGCGCATGTGCGTGCAGCGCGGACCCGACGACAATATGGATCGGTGCGCGGACACAATCTACAATTATAAGAAAGTCTTTATGTGCTTCTGCCAGGGTGATCTGTGCAACGGCAGCAACGGCCGTTGGCGGCAGCCGCTTCCAATGCTGCCTTTGGCCATATTGGCATGTGCAATTCTCAATAGAATGTATATATATTTGTAATGTTTAGCATTGATTTAACGAATATGGCAATTAAATTGAGCAACCGTTCCCATACGAGTTCAACCCGGAAATCGTGAGCTATATATTGTATTCTGGCGTGTGCATGACGGGCACAGGCGATGCGGCTGCCGGCGGCCCTGGTCAGCATGGCATTCCTGATGGAACTGTTGCCGGCAACGCACACAAGGATATTCGACGCCCTCGCACAAGTAACACTCGTTGCATCTCAGGGCCGAGAAGGAAAGTCTAGACAGCTCACACCGTTGCGGCAGATCCATTAGCCAGAGTATCATCTTGTGCAGCGGCTCTTCGCGCGGTTGCTGCATTAACACCCGCTCCCTGTCCAGCGCGCTCGAGATCTTATCTTGGACTTGTACTAAACGCTGCAGAAACAAGCTACCTGTTTTGGAATTTAGGCCAGGCTAATTAATTTTTACTTACACTCTGCAGCATGCCATAGGGATTACAGCGTTCCTCCCGCAGCGTCTGTCTGGTTTGTCGCGAGCTGTGCGTTCGGATGCTGCTGCTGCTCTGCGACTCCGATGCGTTCGATACTTTGCTCATCCCCAGATTGGCCATGAACAGCTCCTTGGCAAATGGCGCCGGCAGGGCGTGCGATAACGCTTTCGTGTATTCAAAGTTGTGCACCGTTTGCTCATGAAATTCGAGCTCCTCCTCCATTGTTAGGTTTTCATTCAGACTCATGTTGAACTACACACGACTGAGGTAGTTCCTTTGGCAATGAAAAGGGCTGCTTCGACTTAAAAATGGTTGGGCGAACTAAATCCGCCGTACACTCTGGCACTATTCACGGACTCGAGCATTTTAAGATATATCTTAGCGCCTGAAATTGATTGCACAATTGATCGTTAACTCAACGGACCATTGAAAATTTAGCGGTTCAATGCCAGGGCTGCCACCTATCAAATGGTACTCTTGCGTTACCAGGGCTGGTCACATTCACTTTCATTTTTCGTTATTGATTCCACTGCTGCAAAATCTGGTGGCTGCCCAGGGCTTAATATTGTTAAGCCCATTGCGCGATTTCGATTATAAGCGAAAATATACACAAATTATGTTTAATTAAAAAGCCTACTCATTTCCTTGTCAATAGTTTTAACAGTACTCAACAGAAATTGCATATATTTGTGTATATTTCAATCGAGCAAATGTCAGTTATTTCATTGCTAATTAACATAAATTAAATACTTCAGCACACTTTGGCAGCGGGAAAAATGTTCAGGATCGCCATTTATGTTCGATGCATGCATGCAATGCGTTATCTTATACCTATCTGTTGCTCCTTCTAACTGGTATCGATACTTGTCCAATTTCCGATACCCTGTAACCTTTGGAAATGGGTTGAAAAAAAGGTATATTGGTTAAGTGCAAGGTTATGTAACAGGCCAAATAAGGCGTCTCTATAAAGAACACATATATATTCTTGATAAGCTTAAGTAGACTTGATTTTTAAAGTATATATCTTAATGCAAGGTTTTACTAACGAAACGAAACAAAATTGAAGCTAGAGATTTGGGCTTTGGTATATAGACACATCCGAGTTTCATATTTAAGTTCTGTAAAGCCCACAAGTACCGGAACATAACCATAAAAGTTAATAGAGTGCACTTTCCTTAGTTGGGTGATAAAAGAGGAGGCGTGTTGTGTGTGTGTGTGTTGGAATGGCTGCAGGGCATCTCTAGTCGAGCACTCGATTGGGACATCGCTCCTAAGCGATCTAGGGGAATCTGAATTTTATACACATTTTGCAATTAAAACAATTTTTGTTTCGTTTTTATTTTGCGTGCGAGAATTGCAAAACCAGACATCAAAAATTGTTATTTTATTTTTGTTTTTTGTTTATTAAATATTAAGACAACATAGTATATTTTTATGTGTATGTACATAAATCCTATTTTCACTTTCATTTTCTTGAACAATATACATATGCGTGTATATAAAAAGAAATGTTTGTACATTTAGTTACTGAATTTTTTCAAAATCAATATATGTATATTAAATAATCAAGTGCAAGCGTGAATTTTAAATTTGGGACACAAAGAAAAATCAATTAGAGCTTAATAATTGTGGCTGAAAAAGAAAGAAACAAAATAAAAGAAAAAGTATGTACAAACATATGTAGGATACAACGATCAGGATACACTGTACAACATAAGGCCAGAGCGCCCACACAGGAGCAAAAAACAACTCTTGCCACTTTGAATATTAAACAAATCTTAGTACTAAGACGAGCCACCCTTAGTCCGGCCGGTCGACAGCATCCAATCCCTTAAGCACGGCGGACAACGGCTGCTCAACTGCGCGTGCGACGCCGACGCCAACGCTGACTGTGTCTTTCCTTTGGCTTCCTCGTGACAATCCAGATGATAATGCCCATGACAGCTCTGGCAGGTCAGGAAATTGTCTGCAAAAATAGAAAAGACGGGCTTAATAGATGTAACTATACTTAACTAGTTAATATAACTCGGCTTGCGTGGGCCTCGTATTTTACTTTAAATGAAAGCTTTCAATTTTCAATCCACCTCCAGCATTGGCAGTGAAACAATTCTCACTACATTTCATGTGAATCAATTTAGAATATAGAACACTTATAAAATATTCGCCCACACAACCGTGTAATCCCATTTTCAGCCGCGTGGTATATTTCCCAAACACGAAATGTAAATAATGTCCAATCAAATAGTTCTCACCTATTTTACACATTTGTGGGTGGAATTAACAATTCTTTGGTTTACTTCATAATGAACGCCTGCGAATTGCCCATATAAAAAATGTAAATAGATAAATACATTGATTTTAGAGACACTTAGGTGCAGACACAGTAGTTACCTTATATGATGAAGGTTGCGGGAAATGGGTGAAAAATCGACTAGCTGGTCTATGCAGGGTACATCTCAACGCAACTATTGTTAAATACTCATAATGTATTTGAAAAAAAAAAAAAGAAAAAGAACACTATTTCTGAAGCAGACAAACAGCTGTTTGGAAGGAAACCAAATGGACTTGGAACTATGTCCATTAAAGCAAGTTTTTACTGTACTTAATGCATGTGCACGGTATATAGGCGGAAGCTGGTTTGAGAGACTTGATCTTTTCGTTTTGGAGATGAGAACTTACCAGCACGCTTTTTGCACTCTTTGCACTTGTGTTTGCCGACATCTGCGTGACCGTTGGCCAACGTATCCTCCAATTTTTCCGGCGTTTTACTTTTGCTCTTGCGATTGGATGCAACGGCAACAGCAGCGGCATTCGCCTTGTGTGCCTTCTTGGCCTGCAGCCGCTTGTCCTTGGGCGACAATAGAAACTCCGGCTTATCCTTGAGCTTCTTTTGACGCACCGCATCGATAGCGGTCAACTGCTGGCCATAATGAAAATCAACGCCGCTGGCATTCTGGACGGTGCGACGCTTGCGCTTGGAGTGGCGCTGGCACAGCTTCTTGACCATGTCATGCGTGTAGAGGCCAAACAGGCCCAGAAAATGCTCGCGTCCATATTCGGCAGGCAGGACACGCGTCTCGCGCGGCTCATCACGCCACTGTGCCGCCGAGGCGCACAGGCGCTGCTGCTCCAGCTCCAGCTCCTGATGCGAATCGTCTGAAGAACCGGATGAACCAGATGATGCACCTGCTGCTGCCGTCGGCTGCGGCGCCGGCTGCGCTAGCGGCGGTGTCGCCGGCTTGCGTCCAGCACCATGCGCATTGCGTGTCTTGTACTGTTTGCTGGTCGCCTGCGGCGCTGATTTCTTCGCTGCCGTTGCTGCAGCACTGGTGGATGCTACAGGTGCTGCTGCTGTGTTTGTTGTTGGCGCTGTTGCAGTTGCTTCCATCGATTTGACTGGTTTGCTTTTAGCGGGCGCAGTGCTTGGCTGTGGCGGACTCTCCGCTATCTTCTCGACGGGCAGCTCTAAGACATCCTCCTCATCGAATTGACGTGGTTGCTGTTTGGTCTTGCGCGCGCGACGCAATGCCTGACGCAGATGCATTCGGCTCTGAGCGACTTCCTCAAAATCTGTCGCCAGCGGTGTTTTCGTAATGGGCGCCAACGGCGGTGGCGATGTCAAAATGCGTTTTACCGCCTGCTTGGCATCCGCACGCGGCGCACGCTGTTTGAAGGCTACCAGCGGCGGGGGTGGTGGCGTTGGCGTTGGCGGCGATGGCGACGGCGACAGCTGGTTTAATTTTTTGTCTTGCTCCTCGGGTGGCTCCGAGCCACGCGGTATTAACAGTGAGTGCAGCTGTTCCTTTTTGGACGCCGGCAATAGATCCTTCTCAGTCTGCAGCTGGGTCTGCATCAGCGATGGCAATGGCGACGGCGACGGCGATGGCGACAGCTGCGCTAAGCCACCTCCAGATTCGATTTTTTCGTCAAGCAGCTTCGGTTCGCTGGCGGCCTCGTCGCTGGGCGGCGGCTTGACGCTGACAGTGGCAGATGCAGTAGCAGTTGCAGATGCACTTAGTGCATTGACAAGCATAAGCGGCACATTGTCATCCAATTCGCTAAGCTTGAGCGGCTCAACGCCACCATCGTCGTCCTGTGAGATAAGAAAATGCTTGCGTATGAGCATCTCCTCGCTGTCGCGGCTGAGCACCGATTGCGGATAGATTTTATAGCTGGCATCGCCAATCAAAGGCACTATCAAGCTGGAAATGTACTCGTTGGCCATCTCAGGTACAGTCCGTATATTGTTCTCCTCTAGATTCTTGTAGAATGTATCCAGTTGATGGTCTAGGCGCAACATTAAAAACTGCTGCTCAGCATTTATCTCATATACCTCCGCCTCCAGTTCATCAAGGATGCGCTGCATCTGCACCGGATCCTGCAGGTGTTAAATGATATGTTTTCATAAAGATTTTTAACAATATGCAATGTAATCGTGACACATGACTAAGTGCCATAAAACAACAACAACAACAACAATGAGCAATTTTGTCGTGTCTTTATTTTATAATTCGTACGTGTTTCGCAAATTTTTGTTTCACGACCAACAAATTAATAGATAAATTATCCACGTTACGCAAAATGCATATAAAAAAAACACATTTGAAATTAAGTACAAGGAGTTTGCGTGTCTATTTAGTTAAAATGTGTCTAAAAACAATAAAACCCATATTTATAAACATAATAGGAGTCCCTACCATTGGATACCCTGTAGCCAACATTAGCACATCATAGGTATACACAATTCTTATATACACATACTCAAAACACACACACGCACACTTGCCGTTAGTTGCGCACTTAAAGCAGCGGCTAGGCTTCTTCTTCTTCCAGATTCGCTTTGTGCACAAATTTTTGTTGGAAAACTTTTGTGTTTATTGTGCGATCGGCAAGAATATGGCAATTATGTATGCTCATACAAGAAATCAAGAATAACTTTAAGAAAAGGTTTCTGTTGAATATATATTTACTTGTATTTGATTGGCTACAGGGTACATGTAAAAGACAACCTCTCATGTATATATGTATGTATGTGTGCGTACCCGCATACATACATACATATGTATGTTAACCCAAATATGTATATCATAATTCCCAATAACCATTTATTGCTTTGCTTTGATTTTGATTTGTCTTTCAAATACTTGTGCTCAAGTGTAAATCTTTTTTTTTTGAATGTTATTCAACATAGAGTATACGCATTTCAATGCTCCTGACACGCGCTCATCTCTAATCGAGTGTAAAACAGAGCACTAATACTGTAAATGAATTAAAAAAGCAGCGCTGGCCGCACTATTATGTGTTTGGGCTATTGGGGCTACTAAAGAGCGAGGGGTGTGGTGCGGACTGTGGACTAGCTGGGAGTTGGCAACCCTGCCGTCGCACACCTCTGCTGTTTTGTTGGGCACATTATGTTACTCCAAACAAAGAAAATATACATATACATATATGTAATATATAATTATGTGCATAATGCAGGACGGTTGTATGGGCAACATAGAAATGTGGACTTACCGCATCGGCCTGTTCCTTAAACACATCGGATACCAGCTGCAATGCCCATGGAGATATCGTGGAACAGAAGTTGAAGTTAGCCAACGGTCACAGGTTGGTTTTACGTATATATTGTTGTTGATTTTGCTGTTACTCACCCCGTGCACTTTGAGAAAGTCGCGCATTGCACGCTGGCAGTAGATAATGTCATTCTTGAGCTCCAACGGCAGCACGTAACCATTTTCTATGTAGAACTTGAACAATGAGGAGTCCTCGGGTGCGTCGTCGTTGCTGTTGGTGCTGGCGCTCATCTTGGTTGCCTCAGAAAGAAACGAACTTGATCGAGATTCGTTACTTGGCATGAACGTTTGAAATATACATATATATGTATATATATTTCTATGCTACGTTTATGTATTCCTCCTTTTTATCCCCAGAGTTCCAAGCAGCGTGAGCGGAGCGATTTCAAAATTCGCGACCTGCTCGCAGTTCTGTCGGCGCTGGCAGCAACAACAGCGCGACAAAGCAACAACAGGCAGCAGGAAGCTGCAAATATACCAATTAATTGAGGCATATCGATATATCGATATATGTGGAAACTACGATCTGGCAGCCTTGTCCAGCTATCGTGGCATCGATACTTTTGCATTTGTCTTGGATTCTGTTTCGTGTTTCGGGCCAAAGCCAAACATTATCATTTTCATTTTTCTCATCAATAAATAAAAATAGCAACTAAATAGAGCGAAATTAACAGTATACAATAGTTGCTTGCAGTGCACACAATACAAAAAAAAGGAATAAATTTAAATAAAATTATAAAATCAAAACTGTGAAGTGCATTACGGTTGCAAGCATATCCAAGCGCCAATTAATTATAAAAACAAAAAACAACACCCACAATGTGTAAGTGAATGAGTGTGCTATAAAAAAAAAATAAATATGCAAAAATTATAAAATAATTGCCTACAGCAGCAGCAGTTCAAGAAAAGGCGACAGCCCCACAAAAATGTTGCTGTCGTTGTAGTTGCTTTTGGTTCTTGTGCAGGCAACGGCATCGCTCAACAATTCCGTTCCCGTTTCGCTTTGTGCGGAAGCGAGCGAGAAGCAGCTTGCTGACGCCCCAATACGGCAGCAACGACAACGAAAGTAAAATTTCACCCAAATTTGTTTGTTTTTGCTGGTTTGCTCTTTGCCTTTGCCCCCTCGCCCTCGCCCTCGCCCTCTTCCACACCACTTGAGGCACTCGTACAAAAGCTGGGCAAACGAGTTTTTGCTTTGGCTTTAGCTGCTGCTGTTTGCTGCATATTTATTTATCTGTTTTTTTTTTTAAACCCTTTAAGTTATTGGTTTGTTTAGATTCATGCCAGCAGCGGCAAGCCGGCTTGCGCGAAAGTTTAAAACGGCATTTTGCCCTCCTTTGGCTGCCTCTAGTTCCCCAACAGCTGTATGTATGTGTCTATGTGTGTGCTTGTGTCTGTCTATGTGCCGTTAAACTGGTTTAATTGCACTCTGCATCATCGCTTCATTCGTAGCTGCGGCTTACGCTGTTGCTTAACTCTTTGTAGTCAAGATGAAAACTTTTGCCAATTTTGCCAGTATTTCTAGAGTTTAAGTTTTATTTTACGATTATTGGCTAGACAGCCATATGTACACGTGTGTGTGTGTGTGTGTGTTTATGGGGCCACACTTGTCGATGTGTATGATTCTTATCAGAAGCTGCGACGTGATGCCTTTGCTCATGTATTGTTTACTTCGCTTTGCAGTGTTATCAAGTGTACTTTTTTCATGAAAGATAGTGTTGCTTTTGATCTTACACACAGACGCACATACATATGTGCGTTCATACGCCGCAACGGTACTTAAAAATTTGTACAATAAATTTGAGTGGGGGCGACATTTTTTTTTTTGCCGTTTTCTTTACGGCTGAAAGTGTACACTCATTGCTTCGAAGTGCAGCCACACAGATGCATTTGCACACCGAGAAAAAAACACGGGGCACAGTTAATGGGCTGCAGCTGCTAGGGCTGCGCGTAATTCAATTTTAACTTATGCGCAACTGTTTTGTCAAGTAGACCACGCCCACCAGATGCATTTCCACAGCGCACAAAAGAACGCATCGCAGTTGCCGATCAACTTCCTCATGTATGTATATGTATATCTATATATATATATATATATATATATATATATATATATATATATATATATATATATATATATATATAGATATGTATGTGTGTGTATGAATGCATATGTTCATGCGTTGCATAAGTAAAAGTGTTGGAATGATCGTCAAGACATCAAGAGATGTGTATGATATTCGGCATATTGATAACACATCGATAAATCGATTATCGTTAACTCACGATATTTTTCCGGTGATATATATTTTTTGCTTTCGATAAAAGTATACAATTTCAAAATTATGAAGTCAAATTGCGTAGGAAAATTTATGTAGATTAGCTCTTCAATTTATTGAATTCTAATAAAAAAACATGAACTTTTTCCTATAAGAACTATAGATTGATAGAACAATATAATATATAATGCGATAGCCTGGAATGCCCAAGTTTATTTAAGAAGAAAAACAAGAACTACAAATATAATCAAACTATGCGACGGGGCCGGATTGCAGTCAAGTGAGAAGGGGTCACAAAGGAGAAGAAAATTAGGCGCATCTGATCATTTTGCAATGAATTGTAACTGCTTGTAAATCGTCTAAAAATTGTACTAAAAAGTAAATATGTTGAAACCTAAATAAGTCGGAGATTAAAAAAAATAAAAATAAAAATATGTATATATATATATATATATATATATATATATATATATTCTTTTGATTATTATGTCAACGTTCCGTAACAGTTAATAGCGATAAAATTACGGGAATACCTATACACCGGGGGAGAATATTAACGTGTTATCGAAACCATTATTGCTAGAGGAACATTTTTTTGCATTTAAGCGTTTTTTTATTTCCTAACGACTTTTAACAATTTTCCATACTGTGAAACTGGTGTGGCTTTAAGCATACAAACTATAAATATGTACAAACGTATGTATTTGACTACATTATAGTAATTGTTAAATAAGTCACAGACGTTTTTGTATCAGTTTTTAACAAATTTGTGGTGTATCGGCTTGCACGCTCAATGAAGGTCCCACAGGTGGCAAATGCAACTCAAGACATAGGAACAGTTGGATGTTTTACCAATAGCACTACCAGTCCCGATATACTTGCAGCTGACGGTATCACCCACGGTGGAGGCAACGGCAACGGCAGCAATAACAACACCTCCGATGGCAGCAGCTTGGGGGCGAAGGACGTCAGTCAAAGTGCCATCACGCAGGACCTGTTGAACAAGTGGCGCGAGAACTTTTACAGCGAACCGAAGAACCTGCTGGCTCAGAATGTCTGCTCCAGAGTGGATCCGTTCGATGTGTGCCTGTCGCGCAAGACGCTCGAGACGACCAATCATGTGTTCAACTTTAAGGTGGAGACGGAGGGCAAGCCGGTGACCAACCAGCGTAGCTCCGGCCGCTGCTGGCTGTTTGCGGCACTCAATTGTATACGCCTGCCCTTCATGAAGAACTACAATCTGGATGAGTTTGAGTTCTCGCAGGCGTTCCTCTTCTACTGGGACAAAATCGAGCGGTGCAACTATTTTCTGAACAATATCGTGAAGACGGCGAAGCGTGGCGAGAAGGTTGATGGCCGTCTTGTTTCGTTCCTGTTGCTCGATCCTACCTCTGATGGCGGCCAGTGGCATATGCTGGTCAATCTGATAACCAAACACGGTCTGATGCCAAAGAAATGCTTTCCGGAGAGCTTTAGCTGCGAGTCCAGCATACGAATGAATGCCATACTGAAGAGCAAGGTAAGCTCCATTATCCTTAAGGCCAACACCTTGATTAGCTCATATATTATCTTGATTGCAGCTGCGCGAATATGCACGCCATTTGCGCGTACTGCTGGAAAAGGAACCCAGCGATAAGGAGATCGCCTGCAAAATCCAAGAGCAAATGTCCGAAATTTACAAAGTGGTCGGCATTTGCTTGGGCATACCCGCCGAGACCTTCACCTGGGAGTACTATGATAAATCAAAGAACTATCAGTCAATTGGGCCCATCAGTTCGCTGGAGTTCTACGAGCGCTATGTGAAGCCGCATTTTAATGTCGAAGATAAGGTGTGCCTGGTCACTGACCCGCGTCCAACTAGCAGCTACGATCAAGTCTATACGGTCGACTGTTTGGGTAATGTTGTTGGCGGCCGTCCCGTTCTATACAACAATCAAAATGTTGATCTTTTGCTGGCGATGGTCACGAAATCGCTGAAAGCTGGCGAAGCCGTCTGGTTTGGTTGTGAGGTTAGCAAGCGTTTCGCGTCCAAGCAGGGCATTGAGGATGTGGATGTGTGAGTACCATACATCTTAGTGCATGGCTAATGGCTCTTTATCTAATTAAATACATCCATCTCTTTCTTACCTGTGCCGCTGGCGCTGCCATTGCTGTCACTTTCGTATTGATGTGCAGCCACGATTTCAAGCTGGTCTTCGACATCGACATACAAACAACATTCTCCAAGGCGGATCGTCTTATCTATGGCGAATCGGCCATGACCCACGCCATGGTATTCACAGCCGTCTCAGTAGATGTAAGTGGGACAGAGTTTATCAATGCTATTGTAATATTATAATGCCAAATCTATTGTTTTGGGTTTTCAGAAAAATGGCGTGGCGCACAAGCTGCGCGTGGAAAATTCCTGGGGCGAGGATCGTGGCGAGAAAGGCTACCTGGTCATGTGCGCCGATTGGTTCAGGGAGTTTGGCTTTGAGGTGGTCGTCGATAAGAAGTATGTGCCCGATGATGTGATGCGCGTATTTGACATGGATCCCATTGTGCTGCCTGCTTGGGATCCCATGGGCACATTGGCGCAATAAATTTTGATCAGCCAAATGGGAAAGCTTTACAAGAACAAAATTAACAATAACTAACAGTACTGCAAGCAATAATCCACAAATACTTAAAATTGTATGTTCAATTTCAGAGATAATTTAATTTAAAGTCTTAGCCAGATTTCTATATACTTTTTCTTATGTATGTATGTATATGTGCATGCACTTTAGCTTGACTCGGCTAATATTCATTTAAATGGCTCACATTAGAACACATATATATAAATATATATACACATGAATACACACACACACACACACACACACCACATAAATGTGACGTCAATTCTTTTGGTAGCATTCTATTCTACATATACCCTTAACATGCAAAGAAACAAAACTGCGTAGTTTAAGTAAAAAATTGGAATGTTTTGAAATGGCGAAGAGAAGTTTTGCGTGCTTTAGTGCCGGCTAAGCGCAGTTGAAATGTTAAGAACGCATTTTATACGTACATATATACATATAAATAAATAAATAAATATATATATATATATTTATATATATACATACATGAGTATATACACATATATAAATAAATATATTGAATACAAACATAGAATTTGTAAATTGTATATTTTGTATCTTAAAAACTAGCAGTAAACCACGAAATCGTTTTATATCTAGACTTTAAGGCTAACAGTTATGAATTGGTATCCGCAGCTAACCGACGCCCCCGGCGCTCCTGATACTCGAAACGCAATCGCAGCCAAATGCCCAGGCACATACGGACCAGTCGCTGATCGTGCTCCTCATGCTGCTTCGCAAACCGATACTGGGCACGTATCAATCGCTTGGCTCGCCGCAGTTGACCGCACTGGATGAGCGATATGCTGTAGTATAGCTTGCAGCGAGCTTGCAAAAAAGGATCACCTAGCCGCAGGCCAATCGTAAGCTGCTGCAACGAGATTTTGCCCGCTGTCTGAGCCTGTAATATGCCGAATTGTTAATTGATTATTAATAATCCCTGTTACTGGTTCTGGTCTCTACTCACGCATCTTTCAAATTGTTCACCTAGTGCTGAAAAGCCGCCACCCAACGTGGAGAGCCACGACATTAAATGTTCCACTTCGATGTGTTCCCATATAGTATGCGCCAGCATATCCGCCCACTTATAGTCGATGGTGTCGTGTTCGGGCGGATGCAATGAAAGCCACAACAGCTGTACTTCATGGTCACGCTCCAGTCTATGACACAGCACCTTTTGCTGCAGTAGCTCGCGCAGCCAGTAGTTGCCAGCGATGGCATCTAGCTCCAATGACAGCCGGCGAACAGTTTTTTTCCGGCTCTTGCCGTTGTCGCCCGCCGCCGACTGGACGGGCTGCCGATTATAGTAGTGGCGGCGTTCCCAATAATCGCAGACGCACACAATTAGTGTCATGCTGTGATCTGGATGCGTTTTGCACTATTACCTGATATCTCAGCTAAACTCATTAAACACAGCGAAGAGTGGGCCAGACATTGAGTTTTGTACTTCAATATATCTACGTTTCTTGTGTCATCTGTTTCAATACGTCTCTTAGATAATATGGCAACGCTCGCGATATTTCTACTCGATATATCGATAGCAAATTAATAATAATTGGATTAATTCTTAAAAAATAAAAAAAACCGTTAACATTTTAAAACTTTAAATATTTATATTTAGCAACGAAAACCAATTTTAGTTAATTTTAAGTAGGTTTCAAACAAGTTTATTGGATAAACTTCGACCACAAAAAATTAAACATAATTTGATTTGATTAAATTAACAGCCCCAACAAAGTCGCCAAAGCTTAAAGATAAAGCAGCTCTCTTGATACGATAACGCTTACGGAAAAAGCTCCCCTTTCGACTAAACCAAGGCACACAGCAACAGGCAATCGCGATAACGCTTCATGAAAGCGCGCTAAGAAGGTGCCCGCCCGTTACAACTGCCTTTAGTCTAGATTTGAGGTTCATTGGGTGCGTTTCAAGTGTGGTGCGAATATCGACTTGAACTACATTAATATCAATACATAGAAATTTAATTGTGTCACAGTGTTAAATACCTATAATGAAGTTCTTTTTGCTGGTGATTGCTGCGCTTGGCTTTTTGGTCTACGTTAGTTGTGGTAATGCCATCATATATTTTTTTTCTTTTATAATATTATATATGGTATACAATATTTATGAGTGCAAGTGCTTTATGTAATATTGGGTGTTTTCGACTATTTCTTTTCTTTTTTTTTTTTTTTAATCTAACACGGTATCTTATCTATTATGTATATAAGCTTTTTGCTTATCAAACGATAAGCATGGGCGTATCATATGCGCGAGTGAAATATCATTTATACACTTAACGCAACCGGCAAACACTTGGATTACACATTTTTCTACCTATAGTACAGTGATATCTTCAAACATATATATATATATCTATATATATATATGTTCATATGTACAAGTGCACAAGCAAAATTTTGCAGATTTTACAAAACACATTTCGAATCGGCAAAAGCAGACACATTTAGTCATACGCAAACAGATGTTTGTACATGTGCACTTGATAATGGCAGCAAGCCTTGTCACGATCTAATCTTGCCACCTGTTGCAATAATGAGTCACTAATGAGCTGGTAATGTGGCCGTCTCCCCTTTCATGCGTCAGGTGTGGGCACATGCAATGTTCATTTTCCGGGACAACAATGTTTTTTTTTCTACTATATTTCAAGCTTTTCCGCTTATATTAGCGTTTTGTCTATTTGAATATACGTTCGAGCAGTGATTTTGCCAGCTTTAAGAAATACCTGTCCACTATGAGAATGTATAAAAGCGAAAATATCAAACCAAATTTTGCTATATCAACATTTTCGGGACACATATTTTTTATTCCTATTGTTTCTGAAAAGTTGCATGAGTAATAAATCCCCAAAAAAAATTCAAATAAATACATTTATTTCGCATGTAATGAATCATGTGATTTGTACGTATGTATGCATGTGCTTATATGTATGTTGTGTGTGGATAATGTACATGATTTTATTACTCGATTATTTAAATTGCACAACTCTTTTTAAGATTAATTAATACATACATTTTGCAAACAAATACACATTTTGATGTACATAAGCTGAGGAGACCTATGACAGCGCACCTATGGGATATCTTGTGCTGGTCGACTTTCAAGAATTGATGTATTCAAATGTATTTTAGTTGATGTGTTTCAATGTATAAACCAATTAATATATAATATGAGGCTTATCTTAATTTATTGATAGATCTGCCCTAGATATAGGTTTAGATCGTGCCATGCTTCTACAAGCAGAAAATTAAGTATTGAAGCAAATGCTTATCTTTCCAAGGGACACACACACACATCCAAATATATATATATATATATAACAATTGCTTACTAACATTTACATTTGTATATTTGTTGCTGATAGCAGCAAATTCAATATATAAATTGTGTCATAATTGTCAATTGTTACGGCTAATTAGAACAGATTGTATTCGACTGTAGATAATAAATATTTTCTCTATATACAAATAATGGATGCACATACGGCAACGCCAAGAATTGTAACGGCAAGCAGCTGAACAATTGAGATTTCAATTTGAATTTATAATCTTTGAAACTCCGGCAAGCCCTCGTTTAGCTTTTGCAAACAAAATGTCGCAGGCGTTGCCATAATTAAAAAAAAAACAAGTAAGAGGCTCTAGTTGGGAGCTCCCGACTAGGGGATACCCTGCACCCTCTTCATCCAACATCAAATGCATATATATATTCTATTTTAGAAGCTATATGTCAAGTTTGGTGACTCTAGCTCTTATTATTTACCAAAATTGCTAAAAAACAGGATATCGATAGCGATTTTTATCGATTGCTTGGAAACTGAGTAAGTTATCGATTATCGGAAACAAACTCGATCTGCGCAGGCACTAGGGGCACCTACATTTCAAGTGTCTAGCTCTTATGGATTCTGAGATCCTTGCGTTCATACATACGGACGGACGGACGGACAGACGGACAGACAGACGGACATGGCTAGATCGACTCGGCTATTGGTGCTGATCAAGAATATATATACTTTATGGGGTCGGAGATGCTTCCTTCTGCCTGTTACATATTTTTGGCTTTCGCACAAATACAATATACCCTTATACCAATTTTTAATGGGCTTAGGGTATAAAAAGTGGTTTAAATTTCGCGCAAAATATAAAACGATATTCAATTTCTTGTTAATTTCAACTTATTTTCCTTTCACTGAAACTGTCATTTACACCCGACTATTTATATACGCCTCCACAGATGGCTGCGTACAGTGCCATTCGAAGACTGATGAGCGCTGCGCCACCGATCCGTTGAACATACTGACCAAGGATTGCGCTACCAATAGCTCCCTTTGCTACACACGCGTGTTAAGTAAGTGCAATATACATAAGTTAATTGTCTGGGAGTTGGTGTATTGAACTAAGCTTTTTGACAGATGGCTATACGATCCGTGGCTGTGCCAGCGATCTGGACAATTCCACATTGAGATCATGCAACAATGAGCTGGAATGTTTGACCTGCACATTCATGGAGGGCTGCAATCGTCAGATTTTCCCACAATATCGCCCCAAATGCCTGCAATGCTCCGGCAATTCAACCAATTCCAGTTGCGCCATCGAGAACCATGCCTACAGCAAAGTGTGTCCAATCTACCGCCTCGGTGACAAGTGCTTCATACGCAATAGCCAGCGCCTGGCGAATGGCTCCTTCCAGCGCGGCTGCCTCAGCACCGCACAGGCCAACAAGCAGTGCATCATCGATGGCAACTGTTACACCTGCGAGGGTCATGGCTGCAATGCCCTGCTGGCCAATGATACGCTCATTCCGGTGGCTCGCGATGGCGCCGTCACTGTCATCATCTCGCTGACCCTGGTGCTGGCCTGCGTCCTTATCAACCTGCTGCTGTAGGACACTGCAGCTGCTGGCTGCGAGTATTGTTGAGCGTTGAACGACATTTAAAAATTTGTATTGCCCATTTTTTTTTTTACATATTTACAATTTACATTTTGCATATGCCGTATATTTTTTAAATAAAATAGAAATAAACAAAAAAAAAAAAAACAAAAAGTAATTAAAGCTAAATGGTGAAAATATCGCGCCTTTGAACTGCAACAACAAAGATTTCCAATTGCAGTCGCAACATTATGTTGTAGTTTTTATGGGCTGCCATTGAGTTGGCCACTGCCTAAGGACTGGCTGCCACTTGCCCACCCGCTCCAACGGTTGACATTTGCCGCCAAGCACTCACACACACAACCACACACACAAACACACACCACGCACATTGGTGCATACATAATCATCGCATAGAGCCGAATGGAACCGGAAGCTCCGCCAATGCATAAATTTATCAACGCCTTTAGAACAAACGGCAGTCTCTCAATTGACTCTGCGTACGAGCAAATGCGGAAACAGTTCTAAGGAGAGCACCCATCCATCAGGCACATACATGCACATCAACGATATAATAAACACTATGTATGTGGGGGTAATTCACATCATAGTCATAGGAAACCTATATACGAGCGGAATATGTATATATCTATATATAGTATATAGTATGTGTACCATGACAAACATTTTCGATGGCTCGGTTCGAGATTGGCTTAAACCCATGCCTCGCCTTAAGGTTTGCTTTATGGATCTGGTTTTCCACATCCACGTGCCCAGATTTGGGTTCGAAGCCTTACTTCAATTTATCGCGAATGTTATATTTTTACATGTTGCTTGTTTTAGATGGCTCGAGCTCGGGTTTTTATTGTAAAATTCAATTAGTTTTACAGGGCGTAAATTGTTTACACGCCCGCAATTTCTGATGTGGATCTTCGAAATAAAATAGAGTAAAATAAAAATCCCGAGTTTGAGCCAGCTAAATTATTTATGCATATTTCGAGTACTGACACTTTTCCCATTAAAGGAAACTCTTAGGTAAAATATTGCCAGCTTCAGGTTAAGGTTCAGCTCTGCTTTAATCAACTAACCCGTCCTAAGGTTCGGTCCATGGTAAATACGAATCGTAAAAATGAAAATCCGGGTCAAAAAAGTTTTGCAGCCAGAAGCCTGAGTTCAGTCAAAACTCGTATTCATATGAAATTTCTGAAATTACTTTAAAAGTTATAATAACTCTCGATACTCGAAACTGATTACGAATTTCATTGCATAAACTTGTGAACTTGTGAGGAAGTTGTATTAAAGTAAACACCTTTATTAAATGCAGTTAAATAAATGTAGTTTGATTTCGTTAATTTTTATTTTTATTTTGTTTTTTTTTTTTTTCAATCTGTAAAATCACAGCCGATGCTTTGAGTTTTATTTCGTTTAAGAAACAACCAGATTAAAGGCTTACACACAATTTTCCGTAATAAATTACATAAAATAGCAGACGGGTTGCATAAATCATTTCTACGTGGACTGTCCGACAAACTCAATCCATTTTAGATGCACATTCCAGTTGCCGTTTGTAAGATGCGCAAGTTGCAGATCCAAGTCCTGACCCGTGACGGTCGTAAAAACATATATGAGACCGATCGCTCCCGGAACGTGGCCGATTTAAAGAAGCGCATTGGTCGCAGCATGAACGTACCGATGGCATTCAGCAGGCTGACATATAAGGGACGCTTGCTGACCAACGACAGCATCCTGGAGGATGAGGGCGTGAAGCGCATGTCCACGCTGGAGTTATACTGGCAGCCATTGGTGCTGACGCCCAAGCAGTATCGTGAAAAGGAGCTCGAACTGGACAAGCTCGACCAAAAACAGCGTCACGTATCGCGCATTGCCGAGAACTATGAGCAGACTGTTAAGAAGGGCGGGCACGAGCGTACACCCAGTGGACTACGTCGGACACGGGATCATCTGAGGGTGAAGCGTTCGCTTAGCGCGGATGATATGAAGCTGTCCACAAACAGTTTTATAAGGCAGCCGGAACGAAAGATCGAGGAATGTGTGCAGGAGGAGGAGCAGAGCTCCACATCTTCTGACGAGCTGGACTTTCTGGCCGCCTACTGGTGTTGCTCCAAGAGTACCGTCAAGAAAAATCGCCAGTCAACGGATCCAAATGTGCTGAAATACGCCGATGTCGATGCCGATGACGATGTCGATGTCGATGCCGATGCCGATCTGAGGGCAGATGCTAAGCAACTAGATGCTAATTGTGACTTGAAGAGTTCCGTCTCCGGCACAGCCTTTCCATGCAACAAGAACAGCAGCAGCAGCAACAATAACAACAAGAACAGCAAGAACAGCAAGAAGAACAACAACAACTTGCCCAAAGACGATGATCTGTTGGAAGATCTACAACGCTGTCTGAGCTGCAAGCACCAGCCATTCCGCAACGGATTACGCCTGGCAGCTGGCCGCATGTCGCGCAGCATCATTTCCAATATCAGGAAGAACCAAAAGAATTGCAAGAAATAAAAAAAAAAACAAAAAAAAAAAAGCCACGCGGCAACCAGAAACTGGCCCACAGTTTGGATCAGGAATTGGACAAATTGTTGACTTTAATTTTTTTTTTCCTTTTAGTTACTTTTTGGTTTTGGTTCTGATTCAATTGACAAAATTTTAATCTGTACGCCTAGCAAAGTGCAGCACATCAAAAAAAGTCAATTATTTTCAGTTATTTCAAAATTTTCGTCATATCCATGATAAATATGCAAGCTGAGCAGAAACGGATGTACATAAACATTACGATATTCGAAACTATTCCAAAAGAGGGCAACATATACATATACCCAACAAGTCCAAAGACCGACAAATACCAAATGATTTACTAACAACAGTTAACATTATTATTGATATTATTATTTCAAGTTCAACTCAATCGATCCAATATTAGTACATATACATATTGTACGTATTTACGGTTAGACACATAATACCATTGCTGCCAAAATTTGATTACCACGATTAAAAATAGCTTGAAACATCCAAGAAAAGTGCCTAATTTGGGTAGATTAACAATTTTTTTCTTCAATTTTTTCTGTATTGAAAATTTACTAAGTTTTATTCGTTTAAATAAGTTAATTTATAAATTTTTGGTAAGCTCCGATCCATTTAGCTATTCAGATTCCTTGGGTCTTATTCAATCTAGAAAGATCTAAGGAAATGCAAGTGGAAGACAGTTGAGTTTTCTTAATGCCTTCACGGATTGCCTTTGTTCATTTTATAAGTCAAAAAGTATCGTATTTTTTTGGCTTGATATAAAAACTGAGAAAAATCCTCAGATTTGGCTGTTTTCAACCAATTTAATCAATTGATAAAATGTTAAATCCCATTAAAGTTGCTTGCAATGTCTTGCGAATGAGTGTGTATGAAACGTACATAATATCTTCTCTTTCTAGCCAACAGCGCAGCTAATTAGAACAACAAAAAAGTTCATTTTCTAGCTACTATAACTATTAATCAATTTTCCACCTATTTTTCGCTTGCTTCAATTATTCATATCATCAGAGAAAAGATGTTTGTAAAGCATAGAGCAGATTGCTATTAAATTGACTCAATTTTGTTATTTAAAGGCTTAAATAAAATAATAAAGTATTCATAAAGGAAAAAAGAACATTATGATTTTGTGCAACGTCTGTCTTGCTGTTCTCTGTATGATTCTGTATAATAGTTTAAAGCTATTGAAGCTGTACACAACTTGAGCCACGCCCACTAGTAAGCAGGCACGTCTCCAATAAAATCTCATGTGTTTAAAACCGATCGCATGAAAAACAAAAAAAATGAACCCTTTTAAGAATATATCTCATCCAGAAAATGTTGCTAAATATGTTTACATAGATTTGGTCATCTCATGCTGTGCAACGCGCGCCTTTCTATGCGCTTCTCAAGATTGGTATTTCGACAACACATGTTCAAAATTTGTATTTTAAATGTTTATGATTTGCATTTTGGTAGAAATGATTAATAAATTATGGCAATTAAAAAGTAATAGCAACATGCCATAACTTAGAGAACATATGTATGTATTATTTATGTACTCTGCTGTTCGATTCTGTTTAGATCGATTGGATCGATTCGGAGTCTGGAATTGCTGCCTGCTTGGCATCGTCGCTGGGGCTGAGGCAAACAAACTGCAAACCACTTAATTCAAAATAATTGTAAACAGCCCACAGAGAAACAACAGAGCACCCGAGTCGGGCAATGTGAATCCTGGGCGTAACTGGATGTTAAGATTTATAATGGAATAGCTTGGAAACAACAATATAACAATACATACATATGTATAAATATAGGCGTAGATAAACTTATAGATAGATGTACGTATGTATGCAGCAAAAATGCAAAGGTAAACAAATAGACCAAGTCGCGGGTACAGGTAATGCCCAGGTGTGCGTGGGGTGAATGTGGGGGGGGGGGGGGGGGGTTGTGGGTTTAGTAGAATCAATTGGGAACTTAAGCGTTTGGAGCAGCGATGGCGGCCGTTGCTGCATTTACCGTTAATTGAATGAGTGCGGGTGATGAAAAGCAGACACCAACAAGCAAAGCCGACAAAAACAAAAACAAAAGCACAAAAATACTGAAACGAAAGGAAAGGAAAGCAGCAACACAGGTCCCGCTCGCATTTGCTTTGATCGGCTCAGGCGCAGTACCAGACAGCGGGCCAACCATGCTAATGGCTAACAGACGCCATTTTTTTGATGAGCCAACAGCAGCGGCTAGAGCATATGCTGATGCCCCGCTGTAGTCGTCGGTGCTCGCCGAGATCCGATCACTGAGGGCCGCTCTTTACGGTTTATTTAGTGTCGAGGTTATGGCGCAATTTGTATTTATGGCTCCGGCTATGTGGCCCACCACACCACCATGTGGTAGCAGTCCAATTAAAAGCATTTTCCAAATGAGGGCCATCTGAAGCGTACCCGCTTCTTCTGCAGCGCCAGCCGCCTTCAAATGAGTCAGCACGCCCACTCAAACCGGAGATCATCGGAGCAGAGCAATCCAGCAGGCCGTTGCCTCGACCAGTTATGGTACGCCGGGGGCGTGGCCAAAGATCAGCGTTCGTTCGAAATGTTAAAGAGAGGGAGCACATATCGCATATGGAGCGCACAGTGAACGCTGTCTCAAATGGACTGCGCCAGCTATAAATAGAACTTTCAGCAAAGCAATGACTAAAAGACTAAAATAGGTTTGTTTTTTACTTTAATGTTTGGAAAAGCAAATGCGGTATATCTTGAGGGTTTGGATAATGTAGAGATCCTGTCGGTTTTAATATATATATTATTTAATTTTTTTTTATTATTTTATATTTATTTTGTACTACATTATCTCCGAAAGTTGCTGGAAATTTGCATGTGAGGTTTTCCAGAATCCTGACGCTTCGTTTCTTACATTTCAATATATATAAGTAGTATATGCATATTTTACACATTTGGACTCAGAGGCTAATATCTGTTAAACTCGTTTTGCTTGCAGCTTAAAGTAAAGTATGGTCAGTATAAACAGTCTTCACTGTAGCTGACGCTCCACATACACGGATGCCCTACAGTTAAACATGTGAGCACATCACTTGCTTAGTATTTTTCGCATCTAACATGTAGTACATTTTTTTTTAATTAGCAGAGATCATATATTAATTTAAATAGACAATACAAAAAAGGGTGTACAAGAAACTTATTAAAATGAAGACAGAAAACGGGTAAGATAATGCAAAGTATAATACTAACATGCTTGATTACGTGTGTACATAGTTTCCCTAAAACTATTTAAAGAGTATTTCATGGTCTATGTTTACTTATGCAGCTGCCTGCACTAATCATTAACCCAAAAACTTGTGCTGTAGTGTATGCAGAGACCTGTATTGCTCAACCAAATTACTCGTCCATGATCCGAGTGAAGCTTTGCTGCTATTGGCCACTCGATGCGTACCTACACATAGGCGCATGCACTTGGATACACACACAGCACACACGCACACATGGGCAATGCTAAATTTGGATGCTGATCGGTCGTGTGCAAGTCTCAAGTGGCGCAGCGATTGGTGAGCATCGCCGCCAGCATCATGATCCCAGCGAAGCGAGCATCCATTGGACGGGCGGGTGCGATGCGTCTTTCTCATTCCGCAGCCAAACTCTTGACAATACGGATGCGAGCGCGTGTGCAGCAACAGTAGCAGCAGCAGCAGCAGCAGCAGCATCAGTTAGTGGAACTTCAATTTGAATGCGAGTCAAGTGTCGACAGTCGCGCAGCGCGGTATCACGGATCACGGACATCGACATCGACATCGACAACATCAGTTCGCACTTGGCCGGAAGGTGGCAATTGAGACACCTCAACGCTTCGGATTCGCAATACGTAATAACAACAAAATCAAGAGCAACAACATGCATTAAGCATCTATCGAGCGGCCGAGTATATTCAATCAATCGTTCGCTCAATTAATTTGTTTTGTGTCAAGAATCAAGAGAATTTGGCAGTCAACGCGATCGGACCATAAAACGCCAAACTCTAAAAAAAAGAAAAGAAAATTTAAACGGGAAATCGAAAAGAAAATAACACGAGACTGAAACAAAAAAAAAAAACACGGAAAATTGGTAAAAATATTTGAAAATTTCGTCGAGGTGTTGAAGCGATTGCAATTTTTCGTGAGTGTGTGCGTGTGTGTGTTTTTTTTCTTGAATCACTTTTTTTTTGTATGTGCCATTGTGTTGTTGTTTTTGTTGTTGTTGTTCTGATTGACACACTGACAACTTGAACGGCAGCTTCCAATGTTTCCAACAACACATTCGCGGGCCTCATTTGAATTTTGTTTATAGACCCGATTTGCCCCTGCATTGTTGTTGCCAACCCATTAGTTTCTTCTTCTTTTCTATTATTTTTTTGCAGTGTGTGCGTGTGTAATAATCAAATTTGACAACTGCGCGAAAAACTTTTCAAATCAAAACAAACCAAAGAACTGAATACCTAAACCAAAACAATTTAAATGATTCAGTAGCTTTTCAAATTTCGTGTTTATTTTCGTTCTTGGATTTTCTGGATACATATACCTTGTGGGTTAATTGGACTCTCAAATACATATCACATATACACATCTATAGTCGTTTACATATCGAAACGTCAAGGCAAACGTGCACAAATCGACCAAATGACACACATGATGGGCCCCACGGAATGCGCCAGCGCCATGGTGGCCACAATGCCATTTCTGGACAATGGCCTCAACGGCAATCTGGCGGATTATGGCTGCTATGCAAATGACTATTGGACATCTCCATACACAACCGGCGGACTGAGTCCCATGAAACAGATTGAAGGTGAGTCAAACAATGGCACATATACTCAATATATGTATGTTTAAGATCAAATGAGTCGATCCATTCGATCGAATATCGTTCGTCCTTGATTAGTTAACCTATAGAAAAGCACCATTTAGAAATCTCAAGTAAGTTAAGTGTAATTTCAGCTAAACATAACACTCTAAGTATATACATGGAATATATAGCATCAAAGAAGAAGAACTAAAAGTCAAGCCCTAAATGCAATAAAATAGAGCTAGAAAATCGGATCTCTTTCCGAATGTAGCTTGGAGTTGAAATTGCCAATATCCCTCAGTTCCGCCGTATTATTGTGGTTTCTTTTCTGCTCTTTATTTAAACAAAAAAAACTTATTTTTATGCTTATCAGTTTTGTAAGCCCCAGACAAAAATATCCGTTGTTTTTGTTGACGGCTCGAACCAACGCTTTCTCCTAAGCTTTGTTTCGTAGAGCAGCTATTCCTCTTTCTGTTTTTGATTCAATCTTTGTCGTACATATACACAATTTTACTGAAACATTTCCATTTTTTACTGAAAACATTGTAATATAATACTTTCTCCGCAAAATTTCGGCGTCTAACTAATATGGTTGGATAAATGCCATGGTCGGGTCCTAAGGTTTTTATATATAGCGACGGGGTCAACCTCGAATGGTTTTTGATTTTAACCAAACCATTTTGGCAAGCATTTATTTTTAAACAAGTGTTGTCTAGCTTCATATATTATATTTATTATTCCGAAATGACTGGAGCTTTTAAATAAACTGCCTAAAATTAATATTTTAAAATTATTTTTTAGTCAATTTTATCTCAGCTTCAGCAAAAACTTACTGTAAGCTCTGCTTTAAAATCAATTCGAAAAAGCATTTAAATAAAAACATAAAATGTGTTTTACACAAAATTCAATATCGATTAACTGTTGCCTCAGCAGTTTATATAGTCACAAATCATACTGAGCGCATTCAAAATATTACAAATTCGGATACAGAGCGTATCCGAGAGTCGGGTTGAGAAAAAAGAGACGCAGTCATTAGGACAACTAAGCAGTGAATGTCCGAGTTCGAAGCCTTGGCTAAATTATAGATGTAGTTTAGCTTAAGCCGATGCCTCAAGAAGCCCATGCTATTTAACAAATATTTTGATAGTTTGTACTATACTAACTATACTATAATAGTATATATTTCAAACTATACTAAATACTAATTATACCCTGAACCCATTAAAAATGGGTATAAGGGTATATTGCATTTGTGCAAAATCCAAATGTAGGTAACAGGCGGAAGGAAGCATCTCCGACCCCATAAAGTATATATGTATATTCTTGATCAGCATCAATAGCCGAGTCGATCTAGCCATGTCCGTCTGTCTGTACGCCCGTCCGTCCGTCCGTATGTATGAACGCAAGGATCTCAGAACCTATAAGAGCTAGAGACTTTAGATGTAGATGCTACTAGTTCCCGCGCAGATCGAGTTTGTTTCCGATAATCGATAACTTACTCCGTTTCCAAGCAATCGATAAAAATTGATATCGATATCCTGTTTTTTGAGCAATTTTGGTAAATAATAAGAGCTACAGTCACCAAACTTGACATATAACTTCTAAAATAGAATATATATATGCATTTGATGTTGGAAGAAGAGGGTTCAGGTTATCCCCTAGTCGGGGACTAGAACCTCTTACTTGTTTTTAATTAAAGAAGATATCGTTTAGCATTTCATAGGTGTAATACAGTGTATGTGGGTTAGCCAAACATTATGATCCGGTTTGTAGGAACTCCTAGAATCCAGATTAAATAAATGTACATTTTTGAGTCGCATTGAATCGACATAATTTCACATATTAACAGTTACCTATAATATAAAAGGTGCGTTGTAAAGGGTAAATGGAAAGTAAAGTAAATAAAGGGTAAATGGAAAGTCTGGTGGTATGTTCACGGTTCTAACCACGGCTTCGCCGATAATTTTGGCTTGTGAGCCTGGCTTTCAATAATCTTGCCTTTCGGTTGAGCCAAATTACGTCATATGTTGTTAGGTTTAAGAGGCAATAATAAGTTTTTTATCAAATTAAGATAATTTAAAATATTGCCTACAAATGTAGAAACAATATTTTTAAGTATTCAACTAGAAATTTTTGAAGCAAGCTATGTTTTTAAATAATATGATTTGGTTCAGGTTTGGACACGTCTGGTTTTTGGGCCTTGATGTGTTGGAAGGCTCGGTTTATATATAAACATAGTATATGAATTCTGGGCTTGAGACCGTTATTATGTTTTTTGCTATAATGCGTATCGACTGCCTGAAATTCAAAATAATTGTCTTCTTATACCAGGCTTCATCTAGTCAGTTTTACAACGTAGACATAGCTCGTACAAATGAAGCACTTTATCTCTAGCCGGAACAACTGATACCAGATCTATTGCATCATTTGTCTATTTGAATGATAAGTACTTAAATGCTCCGATTGTGCCCATCCATCAGCTCTGTGACCTGGCACAATTTGGCGCCCCGCAACACAACCGAATCGAAAGTGAAAAATAACCGAAAATACTTTGAGCATAGCGTTAAGCAAGAATATAAACAAAGCGGGCAATTAGCGCGAAACTTCTTCAGATTCTTGAGTCGCATGCAATAAAATTTGGTTTGACATTTTTTTATTTTTATTTATTTGCCCTTTTTTTTATTTTCTTTTATTTACATACACATAGTTTTGCTTTTGGTTTTTTTGATGGTTGGGTTGGCGTGACAGAAAAACGATTATTTGTGCCAAACGCTAATTGATTTTAGAATTCATTCGTGAAGCGGCTGCCGGCTAAATCACTGGCGGACCAAAACAACAACAACAACAAGAATGGGCTCATTAAACGACAATTGATGTTGGAGCGTGCGACGGCGACCTGTCATGGGTCATTGGCGGTGGCAGCAACAGCAAGCGGCAAGCAAACGGAATGCAACTGCAACTGCAACGGCTGGCACTTGCTACATGCTGCAATTAATTGCGAAATTGCTGACAAGCCCCGGGCCCAGGCCGAGGCGCCTGTTGCCTTGTCTTGCACCACGTCCTCTCTCTCTCTATCTCTCTCTGCTCTCTCCCTCTTTGAAGGGCCGCCGCGGGGGCACTAAATTTAGCTGGCAACTCAATCAACAGCCGCTGCTCTGACGACTTTTATAATTGGATCGGCGCTGTTCTCGCTGGTTTTATATGCCGCTCATTATACCCGCCTGATCCAATTTGTCGTGTGCGCGAATCCTCATTATTCCCGACCAGCCCCTTTTTGCACCACCATCCTTTGACCAGCGCCTGCGCGACCTTCTCCGGAGACATCTGTTTGATGTCGTACTTTAAATCAAATAAATCAAAATATATATATATATATATGTATATATATATCTGATCTGCAAACTATATGAAAACTGTTGGCCAACACTCGTTTCCACATATAAATCTCATTTGATTTATGTGCGTGGCTTTTCCGCTCATTTGTTCTGCAAATTTTTGCACCATGTCACACCTGAGAAACAATTCCGAAATACAATTTCATATCGTAAATTCCTTTTGGTAAGATTTATAGACAATATCTGTTTTTCTAGACACCAGTATTTCGATTTATTTTTTTTATAGTTTTTAAATCTTTTGTAGTATATTCAGCGTCTAACATATTTTCTGTTTTGAAAGTTATATGCAAATACTTCCTGGTTGTAAGCAAACATTCAATTCTGTGAGATATGAATTGTGTTTAAGATTTACCAAGACTGAAAATTATAGTTGGATTAATAACTACAAATTTAATAATGATATTATTATTATTCTAACTACTATTTTATTATCATTATTATTATTATTATTATTATTATTATTATTATTATTATTATTATTATTATTATTATCATTATTATTATTATTATTATTATTATTATTATTATTATTATTATTATTATTATTATTATCATTATTATTATTATTATCATTAGTATTATTATTATTATTATTATTATCATTATTATTATTATTATTATTATTATTATTATTATTATTATTATTATTATTATTATTATTATTATTATTATTATTATTATTATTATTGTAATTTACATTATAATCATTATCATTATGATTGTCATTATTATTATCATTATTATTATTCGTCTTATTATTATCAATAATGTTGTTATTATTATTGAAAATAATTTTTAAAATCTATTACGATTTATTTTAGAATAGCCAGGTAACTACTATATCAATACATTATTAAAGATTAAAGATAAAAAATGTTTAATATATGCTTTAATATTTGCCGTTTTAAAAAATGAAAAATGATACTTTTTTCAATACCCAATCTTTAATATTGTAAATGCAAAAATTAAGTATTTCTATATGTTAAGCAAATTTAAATACCTAATTTAAATTGCTAAATAGGAGACAAGCATTACTTGTTAAGGGAAGGAACTATTTATATATTGAACTAGCATATTCATCTATTCAGAATAACAGCAGATTCGACCGACACATGTTCTGCAGCCCATAAGTCTATATATCTGAGATCCAATCCTTGAGACGTAGACAAGTACATACCACATCATATCAGATCAAACCCGATAATATCATATCACGTTTTTTTTCTTAACTCTTCAAGTTCTTTGTACACATAACATTCATTTTGATGCACATTATCTCTATGTTCCAAATTCCAAATTGCATTACAAGCGGCTAATGAACATAAGTAGATATCATGTATATATATAGTATGCTTAAATCGTAGATACAGGCTTACTGCCAGAGCATTAGTTTATTTACACTCACTGTTTAGCTAGCCATAAACAAATCTGTCAATCGAAATCCGCTCGTGCCTCATTCACAGCTTGCATACAAACGGCGGGCAAGGATCGCACCTCGTACAAGCCACTTGAACAGATCGATGCCAAGCTGGCGGACATCGATGCGCAGAGCACAGGTAGCAACAGCACCAGCAGCAGCAGCCAATCGAGCAGCGCCGGAAACTGTCAGGAGCAGACGTCCGCCGTTTCAGATTACCCGGGCGGCGGCGGCAACAACAACAGCAGCGGCAGCAGCCACAACAGCAGCAGCAGCAACATTAATGAGTCGACAACCGGAACAGCAGCAACAACGCCAACAACAACAGCAGCAACGGCCAAAAAGTATAAGAACAGCCACAAAAAAGACAACAACAATATCACAACAAACAACAACACGTCAAACAGCAGCAGCAAGAACAACAGCAACAACAAGGGTGTAAGTGACAAAAGAATCAAAATATTTGAACCAAATAGATACCAGTTAGTTACCAAGAACTTGCAAAGAACCATGCTCATGTTAAAGTTCCAGACGAAGTGCTGTAAAATTTTGCATAAGGCTCGTCGAAAAGTTGGAGTGCGAATTGCAATTGGGTGTTGCATATGTGCAATGTGCTGCAAGGTGGCAGCCAAACTGCCTTGTAAATTTTAACATGCAGATTAAATAACAAATGCATGAGATGTAAGCTTTGACTGAAGCACCAGAAAAAAAGAATTATACGCAAGAAATATATAAGTTGAAACATAAATATCACCTCGATCCACATTCCTAATAAAATGCTAAGTATAGATTTTATACAAGCAGTATTTCACCTACATTAATAGCACTTCTCGTTCTCATATTGTAACTTCCTTCCAGAGGGTAAGTTTGTTGTGAATCGCATAGACAGGCAATTGTTTCCGATCAGTTTTAACAGCCGATTCGATATGTCTGTCTGTTCTGTCTGTTTCTAGGCAAACTTATTTGAATATGGCCTTGCACCATTCCCTCTTTTTGCTGCAGGAAGTAGATATGTTGGAAACGACTCGATCGTAGCACCATGTTATATAGATGCTATAGTTATGCCATAACTTGTAAACTTGGAAAACTTCTCTCTTTTACAAAATATCTCGACATGGCAATTGCGAGCTCTACTAAACTTCTAATATCAGATCAAATCGAACAAATACAATAATCGGTCGGAAACTAAACTTTTTATAATATAAATCAGTGCTTTGCCAAATGTCCCCAAAGATAGCAGTTTTTTCCATTTTTGTTTTGTTTTCGTTCTTATGCATCTTTCCCCATACCTAATTCTATATTCTTTGCCTTGTGTTCTATAAATTCGGTCAGGAACCGGAGCCAGTGCATCCATCGCTGGCGCAGGCCATTGTTGTATTGGAAACTAAAGCGCTGTGGGATCAGTTTCATGCGCAGGGCACTGAGATGATCATTACGAAGACGGGTCGTCGCATGTTTCCCACGTTTCAAGTGAGGATCGGCGGCCTCGATCCGCATGCCACCTATATATGCATGATGGACTTTGTGCCAATGGATGATAAGCGTTATCGCTATGCGTTTCACAAGTATTATCCAGTTTGGTCTGTGGCAACTAAGCACATGGGTTTAACTTGGTGTCTCTGTCTCTTCTGCAGCTCGTGCTGGGTGGTGGCGGGCAAGGCGGACGCGATATCGCCACCGCGGATACATGTGCATCCGGATTCGCCAGCGGCGGGCGCCAATTGGATGAAGCAAATTGTGTCCTTCGACAAGCTGAAGCTGACCAACAATCAGCTGGATGAGAATGGGCATGTGAGTATCAGCCTTTAGTTGGGCCATAAATTTATGCTTATGGCTTTTGTTTATGCGGGGGAATAAAACATTTGGTCGCCGCCCGCGCCAAACAACATTTATTTGTTGTTGTGTTTTGAAAGCGCTAAACAAAAACCGGCAGCCGTCATCCGAAAGCACTCTGCACGCATATAACATACACATATGTCTTCCTCTCTGCCCCATACAATTGCCATTTACAGATCATATTGAACTCCATGCACCGCTACCAGCCGCGCTTCCACTTGGTCTACTTGCCGCCAAAGAATGCCTCGCTGGATGAGAACGAGCATTCGAGTCACTTTCGCACGTTCATATTCCCGGAGACCAGTTTTACGGCCGTAACAGCATACCAGAACCAGCGGGTGAGTATATGGGCTTGGGCTTTGACTTGGGCAGGGGCATCGGCATGGACATGGGAACAGGGTACGGGGCACTACTTGACCCACTTGTCATCGGACCCACTTGTAAACGACAGGCGTGAACGCTTTTCAGTTTTCAAATTTACATTTTTGAAACATTTGGTCGACAAGATTTTAGGCCCCCCCCCCCCACCCCCTTTGTTTGCCTCCTGCTCCAAACACCCATGTGTATATAATTATTTTACAAAGCTTTCGCTGGCATTTTATGCCAATTTGGGCTCATTGTTAATGTTTAAATTTCTGGTGTTCTTTATGATTGTTAATTTACAATGCGTAACATCCAAGTTAAGAAGGGGATTCTATCTCACAAAACCAAAAATACAATACATGAGCTAGTTTCATGTAACACGAAAATCGACTGTCAGATACACTTTACAACAGAAGATTTTAAAACTTTTAAGTTTTATCCTCAAATGGTTTTAATGACTAAAAAAATGTTACTTGAAAATATGTAAAATGTGTGTAAAATTGTGAGACAATATATAAAATTCAAAAAATAATCGTTAAACTTTATAGTTTATATAAAAATATCACCATCTGTTAATTGTAGCTACTATTGAGACCAAGCCTTAGAATCCCTAGAATCAATATTCTCTGCATTCTGCATATATTTTGATATATAATGTAAGCCAGGAACCACATTAATAATGTATCCCTATTTATTTCTATCAACACACGCTTAATATTGCACAAATAACAGATAAAAGATAAATATAATAAAGAACTGAGAAAAAGAATTTACTTGAAATGCATTTAAAAACGTCCCTGCTTGAAAAACTTCTAATACCCTATTGTCGAATATTTCTCGAGTGAAATTCATAATTTTCCAAGTGGTGGACAGCAACAAGAAAAAAAAAAAATATGAAAAATCTCTGGCATTTTATTTTTAGCGCCATTTAACCGAAAGTATTTAAATTATTTATGCGCTTAACGTGGGTGTTAACACTTTTCGTTCCACAATTTATTGCAAATAAATTTGTGGCTGTGTGTGTGTGTGTATGTGTTGTTGTTGCTTATGTAGTTGCTGGTTTCTTTAATGCTTTGTAAACATTCTCTAATTTGTTGCATTTATCGAAATAAAAGCAACAACAAACACACAATGACTATTATTAACATAATTGGGGCCAAAATAATTTAAACACATTTGCGTGAAAAATGAAATTTGTCATAATTTTCCATGTGCTTGTTCTTTTTATTTTGTTGCAGGTGACACAACTGAAAATATCGAGCAATCCGTTTGCCAAAGGATTTCGAGATGATGGCACCAACGATGTGTAAGTAGGCCAATATAACTTTTCATTTTTAAGTCTTAATAGTGTGTGCCTAGAATGAAGATATATGTACATATGTCTGTATGTATATATATTTAATAAATTGTATGGCTCAAGCAACAAACACAAGTCTTGTGTAAGCCTTAACAAAAGGCGACACAAAAGTGAATAAATAAGACTTAGACATAATTGTTAAAAAAAAACAACAAAAATATCTTCCGCTTGGCGAAGAATAAATACCCTTGCTACTTCGAAAAACAGCAAGAAGACAATATGGGAATCTGAATTTTTGATTAAAAGATTTTACAAGCATATTTATAAGATATATATTTGATGGCGTTTATTAAGAAAACCTAAACAAAGTAGAAAAAAAAAAACAAAAAACAAAAAAAAAAACGTAACTAAATTCAGTTACTTATTTATTTAGTTGGTAAGTCTTAGCTAAGACCAATTTCTCACCAATCGTACAAATACTAGTTATTTCATATACAAATCCATTTGGGATCAAATATGACTGTACTGTATAAGTGTTATGGTAGATAGATGGATATTATTTGTTATGAAATTGACCCACTTAGAGCAGCGCCCAAACAGATTTTCGATCACAATTCAAATACAAGTGGCCCACTAGACAGTCCGTCGGCCGCTGATGTTAAAGTCATTCCGGGAATTGCCGACGCGTCGCATCTACAAAAATAAAACACAAGAAACAATAACTCAAAATGGGCGCGAGAACTTCAACTTAGAATGTGGAGCATAAGCAGCTCCGGCTGGCTATGATGGGCCAGCTGACAGATGTGCCTGCCTGCCGTGGCGGTGGTATAAACAATTTTTTTTTTTCCTTGGCTTTTCATATTTCGGCATTGTGCCCGAGGGTCGATTGTAAACAAATCAGAGAAGAGCGAGTTTAATGTTTATCGAAAGTGATTTCAATTTTAAAATTTTGATTTTTAAATTTTAATTACAGCACCAGCGGCAGCCTGGGTATGTCCAGCATGAGCCATGAGAGTCAAGCACGCATGAAGCAGCAGCAGCAGCAACAGCAGCAGCAGCAACAACAACATCAACTACAACAGCAGCAGCAGCAGCAGCATTTAAAGGCAAAGGACAGAACGCCAGCTAACAGCTTCAGCTTGTCCTGCACTGAGCTCGTGGAACAGCAAGCAGCAGCGGCAACGGCAACAACAGTAACAGCAGCAGCAGCTGCAGCTGCAGCAGCAGCAACATCTCAACTGGCCATGCAGTTGCCAGCCACGCCGTCGAGCAGCTCAACGTCGGGCAATTCGCCGGATTTGTTGGGCTTTCAGTTGGAAGCGACGCCGCTGCAACAGCAACAGCAGCAGCTGCAGCACCAACAGCAACTGCAGCAGCAACAGCCAGTGGTACAGCAATTGCATCAGCAACAGCATCAACAGCACCAGCAGCAGCAACAGCAGCAGCAGCAGCAGAACCTTCACCAAATGTCCAGCAGCTATGGAGGCAGCTATCATCATCCGTACCAGCACCATCAGCATCAGCACACGGCAACGCCATTGACACCGCTCTCGGCCAGCTCCGCGTCACCGCCAGCGCCAGGTGCTGCGGCTGCAGCCGCGGCAGCCACACAGGTAATGGCGGCGGCCAATATCTACTCGAGCATTGGCCAACCATATGCGGGCGAGCAGAGCAACTTTGGGGCCATCTATCATCACAATGCGGCGGCGCACTATCACAGTCACGGATATGGCAGTCCGTATGACAAGCTGAAGGTCTCCACGGGTCACATGCGGCAGGCGGCAGCCGCCGCGTACGGCATGAGCAGCTATCAGAGCTTCTACGGCTCCGCGGCGGCAGCGCATCAAATGATGCGGCCCAATAGCTATATCGATTTGGGACCACGCTGATAAGCGGCGGGTCGCTATGCAAAGTATTATTATAGTCAGCCTGGGGCCTGAACTCAAGTATTACAAGTATTTTCAACTAACCCAAACTCAACTCAACTTAATTAATTAATAATATTATTATTCGTCTCATTTTTTTTTTGCTAGTCTTAAGCGACAGTTTTGTGTCTAGTTCAAAAGTATGCCAAAAATGTATCGTAATTGTAAACAAATTATAGTTTGTAACTACATTTTTTTTTTACAATTTTTTTCATAGCAAATGCGTTTGCATTGTGTTTTAATTGTTATTAAAATGTAATATTGTGTAAGTGTATTGTGTAAGTTGTGCTTAGTGTTCTATTTTACTCGTATTTTTCCATGTTCTATGTACATAAAAACATTTAAATGCTGCAACAGTTTCAATAATAAAAGCCAAATCTAAATTAACAAGAAACGAAAAATTAGAAGAAACATTTCTTAGCTAACGGTTAAATGCTCGAACAGACAAAATGGCCGCCAGCAGGCGGCAATTGGTGCTATCCTTTGTTTACGTTCGCCTCCACTCAATCTCTCTCTCTGCCTCTCTCACTGTCTTACTCTCTTGAGCTGTCTCGCTCTAGTATAAACAAAAAGTGCCATTGTTTTAATTACGGTTAACCAACGAAAGAGTGTGTACACACTTGCACGCCGGCACACCTTGGGGCCAGTGCTTGCGTGCGTAACAAAATTGAAATGAATTTTTGACTTTGTTGTTTTCACGCTTATCGAGCAACCCCTCCCCACCCACCGACACACACACACACACACACGCACGCACAAAATGCAGTTTCTGTTCCCCCAATTTGATAAGCTGCACCCGTTGACAGATGAAAGCTGATAAGCTGTCATACATACACACATAGCTTCAGCCTGGCAGATCATCAAAGCGGTAACACAGAATGCGTCTGCACATATTGAAAAGAAATGCGCAACAAGTGTATACACACAAATGTTTCTACAAATGTGTGTACGCACTCAGTACGTGCGTTCGTGCATATCTGTTTGTGCGTATATATGTATATTTGAATTTTTATATTTTGCACACATTCTTTGGCACTTTTTAAGAAATGATGGTTATATAAAAAAACAAGTAAGAGGTTCTAGTCGGGAACTCCCGACTTGGGGATACCCTGAACCCTCTTTTTCCTACATCAACTGCATATATATATTCTATTTTACAAGTTATATGTCAAGTGTGGTGACTCTAGCTAGCTCTTATTCTTTATCAAAATTGCCCAAAAACTTCAAGTCTCTAGCTCTTATAGGTTCTGAGATCCTTGCGTTCATACATACGGATAGACGGACGGACGGACAGACAGACGGACATGGCTAGATCGACTCGACTATTGGTGCTGATCAAGAATATATGCTTCCTTCTGCCTGTTACATACATTTAGATTTTGCACAAATACAATATACCCTTATACCCATTTTTAATGGGTTCAGGGTATAAAAAACTTAAAAAAAAAGTATAATCATATTGTGCTCAACTGTAGCTAAGGATGTACGAATAATGGATTGTATTTAAGTACGGTATGATTTTTGATGGTTTTAGTAATCAGAATCTCGAAAATATTAGTGTAAGAATCAAAAAGATATTTCGTAATAGTAAGCAATAAATTTAAGTATAGCTTCTTCTGCATATTTATTTACCCAATTCTGTTTTTTCAACCATATGTAATTATATTTTAAGATTCATTCACATTGCGAATAATCAATTTACTGGAACTTCGGATGTGTCAAAGTGAATCCCAATACTGACCACACCTATCCACAAATGTGACTAAATAAATGTAAGTCAGTATGTAGGTACAGTCATGCTGATTAATCTAATCAATGAGCAGCGGTCGTTATCAGTGCATGTTCCTACATAGCTTGATTATCGCATTGAACAGTTTTTTGTGGAACTCGTGCATTCCAGTTATGGACTTTCGACACTCATAATACCCACATTGTGTTTATGAGTACTCGTACTATCCAAGCTCAAATGTGATGGCTAACGTTAGCTAATGCAATCGGCTCAATCTGTTTTATATGGTATATAATACTTATGTGCCGATCCATTTACTGCTTGGGGTGGGAGCCCCGAGCGTTGAGGCGTGTGACATGTGGTGTCGTTATCATTAGTAACGGCACGTTTGTGACGTGATAGTCATAGATGTATATGCTAGTATACCTATACATATATATATATACCTAAGATTAGGGCTATGCGTTGGGCGTCTATGCGATTTCACACGTTGTCAGAGCTGTGTCTAGGAAACAGAAAAAATAGCTAAATGACAAGCCGTCAAAACTCGACGTTCATTAGTCACAATAGGTACACAAATCCATAAGAATTAAAAAAAAAAAAAAAAACAACAAATAATTCAAAAATAGCTAAAAAGTGACGCGGCGCATGAGACGGGGCCAACCTATGAGCGCAGATTGATTATATCGCATTGAACTTTGGTCGTGTCACATAATATAAATGTTCTGGGCCAATTTCAAAAAGACGATCATCAAAGAGCTGTCATATATATGTCATACTCACACACGGAACCGGCCGTTTATCCCAGTTTTTCGCAGCGTCTAAAATTTAATACCGCCATTTGTTGTTGGTTTTTGCTGATGCCGCTGCTGATGTTGTTGTTATTGTTGGCTCCATAAATAACATCAAATTGGCATTGCATTCGGGCTTTCCAGTTGAGACACGGCCCGGGAGCACATAAATTTCTCAACACTTGCATAAAAATTCATAAAAACAATAACACACAACAAAAACACAGAAACAACAATAACAACAAACCAGCAGATGTGTCGTAGAGGGCAAAAGGCAGCGCAAACGTGTTGAATGGACACATGGCAATGAATCGGGGGAGTGGGAGGGCATATAGTCCATGTGTTAGAGATTTAAGAATTGGAATTATGATTATTTTAAAATTAAATTTTCGCATGCAGCCCAATTTCATGAATGAATCCACCAGATCAAATACCTGAACATGGCGTTAACATCAAAGTTCTTGTTCATTGTCAACTTGATAGTTATCAAAACTCTCAATAATCAGCTATCTGATCAAGATAACAGTCTTTATGTGTAACCAAACTATTCATCAATGTCATCAGAGTAAACTCCTTGAGATATTTAGCCAAGATATTTATGTACTTTGATTAAAGAGTTTTCTCCTCAGATCTAGATATAGAAAAAACACATTTATTGAAGGTGTTTGAGAGGTGTTTGAGCACAAATTCTTAAATTAATTATAAAATCAAAGTTAGCGATCTACTAAATAACCAAGTAGCAGTGCTGTAGTCGGGAGTGCCCGACTAGCGGATACTCTGAAGCTTATTTTTCTACGAAAGGGAAAACGGGAATCATAAAATGAAAGATATTTCATCTATTTGATTCTAGAATCTACATGCCAAATTTAGCTCTTAAAAGCTAAGAGATTTGTTTAATAACCTAGATTTCGATTTCAATTTCTTACCGATTGCTAGAAAACAGGGCAAGCTACAAATTCACAAATTCGTACTGCACTTGGAGGACTAGCTCTTATAAGTTCTAAGATCAACGCGTTCATGCATAGGAATGGAGAGTCGGACGGACATGGCTAGAACGACACGGTTATTGATGCTGATCAAGAATATATACATATACCTTATAAGGTCGTAGAAGCTTTTTTTTGTCTGATTTTAACGAATTTCAATGGGCTTAGGGTATAAAAATCGTTGCCCAATATATGAATTCGCATCCTGTTCAAGTATCTTTACCAATAACTTTAACAACAACTTTAGCAATTACTTTAACTGGAAATAAGGAAACACATATTCATACATTTATGTACTTCTCCCTTGTATTCCGAAAATGAATATAATTTTTTATGGGCACCTGCTATAATCTAATCCAAAATTCACACTCTCAACGGTCAGTATGATGAGTAACTAGGTGTGTGTCAAATATGTGATTCATGAATACAAAATTGACGTAACCATTTGGCATAGATTAAACATACATACGTACAAAATATGCATGCATGTTTATCTGTTTGCGAAAAAATAAAGTTCCCGATATGGGTATACATATATACATATATATACATATATACTTCTTTTATAGGTATCGAGCTTTAAGCGGCACCAATTGTAGGTTTGAATTAGCTTCGATTTGACAGCTGCTAATCAAAGGCGGCGGGCGGCCTTTTCTTGTGCTGATAAGCCTTATCGTAGCATGACGTATAAGGTGCCATATTTCCAATGTGCACTGGCATAACTTAGTCAAAGGCTATGTAGACTGGCCTTGGATTATGATTAGGCTCAGCAGCAGTGTCAGGCGATATATAATGATGATAATGGACTGGACAGACGCCAGGCACTTTAAAGGGCTCAGCGGAGACCGAAGACCCTTTGAAAAATGATTTCTGGATGCCACTGTAAAACGAATATCGTCCCATTGAAAATTTCAATATTTATTGCAGACAAGCACTGCGGTAGGTCCACGTACATGTACACATATATATATATATATGTGTGTGTGTGTGTGTGTGTGTGTGTCACTGTCGTAGGTGTGCGGTGTGTCGCCTGGTCGATCGATATTTGCGTTCGTTCGGTTGCCCCGTCTGTTGGTGTCAAATGGCCGGACGGTTTTCAAGTGGCACTGCAACAACAACAACAACAACAACAACAACAACAACAACTGCAACAACAACAACAACAACTGCAACTGTGCCTGTTTTTCTTATCAACTTGTGCCCAGTGTCTTGTTGTTGTTGCCACATTTTCCGCACAAGTTCAGGGCGCGTCCATAGCTAATCGCTTTGAAAGTGAAACCGTGTTTATATTTTGCCTTATTTTTTCCGCTTTTTTTTTCATTGACACTTGAACCTTTGTTTATGCGAGCGCGTCGTGTGTTTGGTATTCTTCATTTCTTTACATTTTCTTTTTTTCTTTCGTTTAAATACCCTGTAACATGTGCACCTCTATTTACCGGCAGTATCCAGTAGCGTTATATTTACCGCGTTGTCAATTTTAGTTCATTATTTTAGCCAAATAATTATGTTCTAATTGGAATGGAAAGGTATATTAATATAGTCAGTAAGCCCTCAACTATTTCACTATGTCTCAGTTTAAAGTATTAAGGATTTGGTGAATTTTATTTAACATAACATATTTTATAAGATCTTAAAATAGTGTGTATAAAACAAATTCCGAACCAGGTGAAAGTTTTTGAAAACATGACTAAAACTCTTTATAACTCGAATTACTACTATATTTCCTCATGTGAGACTTATCCATCTTTTTGTGAAAAAGTAAACATTTAAAAACTTCTGGTAGTTAATGACAAAATAGTTCAACTGACTAAATCATATGTGATGCTTATATTTACTAAACGTTGTATGTGGGCTAAAATGTAATTTTGCTTGCGATAAATAAAAAGCAGATCATGTTAAAACAAATATCTGCAAGATTGAAGCTTAGCTCAATGCTTGTTTTCCCCAGCTAACAGCTCAGCCAGGGTATTCCTTAGTCTCTTGAATTAAGCGTGTGTAAAAATACTTGTTTAGTGGATGTGGCATATTTTAAGACCCGAGCAGAAGTGGAGGGCTGCAACCCTTTGTGGCTACGCCACAACTGCAAACTACCTTTTCCGGGCATTTGGGGCGCACGCATGCGCGACTCTCGAGTGGATATTGACATATTGCCGACACGCCCACAAACAAATCTGTGCAACATGCACAAGACAACCAAACTGGCGCCCGCCTGGCCGCCCCCCCTCTGCGCAGCCATGCCAGACGCACGTGCCCACCACAGACGATGATCGGCTGTTCAGTAGGAGAGAAAGAGACAGATGGAGCAAGAGCTGGAGCAGGAGATGGAGCAGGGCGAAGAATGTAAGAACAAAGCTGACAGGCAACAAAGTAGCTGCTTTTATGAGCCGTGAATATTATGAAATAAAAACTTGACAAAATCGTGAGTTGAGTGCAAAATGTTTGTGCAAATATGTATTTACAAATTATATTTTGATGGTTGCCGCGCCGGGGGCTAATTAATATTACACAATATTGCAACAGGCCATCAATTAACATTGCAGTTGCAGTTCGAATGCCCTCAGCTACGGCTCCGGCTCCGTCTCCGGCTCCGGCTCGCATGTTGATTCAACGGAAATTGAGCGAGTAATTCAAGAAAATGTTGCTCGGAAATGTCGTGCCATAAAAATCGTTTGCCAGTGCGTGTTGAAAACTGTCTCTTCAAGTTCTTAGGCCAGCCCCACACACACACACCCCTCGATCCCAGCATACCCTATCCGTTTTTGTGCGCACTTACCAAAATTAATGCCATCGATGACAACACTGGCAGCAACAATAAAAGGCCCAGCCCAAAAATAGCCGGCATATAACATTATGCTGCCTCCGAAAAGGGACAAAGCAGCCACTGAAATTATGAGGACGTTTCTGCTGCAGCACAATTATTGCCAACTGTTAACAGATTTGTTGGCAATGCTCAGCGGCAACTGCTGCAGTAGGAGCACCACCAGCACCACCAGCCGCAGCAGCGGCAGCAGCGACAGCAATTGGGGCTGCCAACAGTATCTGTTTGATAATGATAATGGCATGTTGATGTCGATGGCTTTCCCACTGGAAATAGAGTCATTTTCAGTGGAATAATTGCCATTTGCATTGTGAAAAGTGCTGAATGCATTGAAAATCGATAACATAAGTAAATCGTTATATAAATTATATTCGTTTTACGGATCTGAAATTGCAAACGCAACACAACGAGTCCGAGAGCATGTTGTGAAAGGCAATGCCAAGCCTTCCTTTTAAAAGCAACGCATCTTAAGCTTAATTAGCTGGAATAGAAGGCACCTAAGCTGTACCATGTTTTTAAGAAAATGATTTTGTTGAACACAAAAACGTCAGCATCAAGGTTCGAACCAAAACCAGGTTGCATAAAATTAAAGCCCCAACGTCACAAACCTAACCTTTAGTTTAATCGCTTATTGAATTATTTTGTTGCTTTTGTGATCATCACCCTTTGTTATCATCACCTTGTTATAGTTCCATCCATTGCGACCTGGCGGCTCTGTTCATGGTTCGAACCAGCTTCCTGTCTGTAGCTGTAGTTTGTGAAGCTGTCTGTCCACGTTTTGATTTAAATGTTTGGGATATATTTTCAAAATTTAAATGAAACATTTCAATTTCTTCTATAAAGTGCCCCTTGTACTGAAAATATAGCAAGACAATATATATTTTCATATACAATATGAGGGCTACATTATATCTCTACCCAAAACTGGCAGATATCAAATATGCTTAGATAATGCCATAGTTGGGAGCAAAGTATATATTGTATCGGTTAGTATAAAATATATTTCAGTTCCAGGCTCGAATCGGTTCGCTTTCATATATAAACTTAATTCTTAAAGAAGCCAATTGATATACTAAACCGATCTCGCTGAATTCTAGATGTGTCCTGCCCAGAATAGATCACATAAATGGCTTTAAAACTCAGGTAATAACTTGCAGAGAATGAACAATGAACGCTATCAACTCACCTCGTCGTTCATTCCAAGAATATATAATAATACTATATATATATATATATACCCCATATATATATATATATATATATATATATATATTCTATAGAAAGGTAGGCAAAATATTTCATGTACTTATGCATAATTATAAAAAAATATATAAATGTAGCAATGTGTCTTGTTTTCATAATTTGTAAATTACAAAAATATAAAAATTCATGTTGCTGTGCGGAGCGTTGAATGATCTTTCAGGTGTGTTTATCACAGTTAAATGATGTGTGGCAATTATCATAGAAATATAAATAGTCAAAAATATATATACAGAGCTCTGAGCCAATCAGTAAATGTCCAACTATTTTCATGCCCGATGCCCAAAACCAATATGTAAATATGTATATGGTAATGGAAAATATGAAGAGTATTTCTATTGCCTTATGCCAATTTGTCGGTACTCTTTATATTAATAGTATTCCACACGTCGCAAGTGGGAAGATAGCGGTAATCGTGAATTAGGCCATAAAGTTCTTGGTCTAATCGGTATATCGTCATCAAAATCCTCATCTGATAAAAAATCCAAATAAACATGTTCAACGGGTTCGATCCTTATGCCGTTCCAATAATCAACGGTGCGCCGGCAGTTCGGGCAATTATTGTTGTGACCTAGCCACTTACTCAAGCAGGTCTTATGGAACCAGTGGCTGCACGGCAGCCGGTATGCGGCGGTGAGTCCACCATCCTTTGTGCTTTCCAAGCAAATTGTACACGTGGAGGTGTTTGGCAGCCGATGGAAGGCGAGTTTCAGCATATTGTGGCCCAGATATCCCTTGAAGCGATAAAGTGACAGCACAATAATAAGTAAGGCCGGCACGATGATTGAAACAAACAAACACATTATTATAAAGTCTTCCAATGGGCCCATGCTATATTAACAGATTTTCATAATTTTTATTTTCGACCGTTTTGCCTTAATAATGTTCTACTTTAAGGCATGAGATTGAATTGAGAATGTTTGCAGTGCACACCTGTTCTTAGGCTCATTTTAATGTTGCTACGATCAGTTTCAAAACTCAAAACTTCAATTTTTTTTTTATCTACCCACAGCAAGAGCTAGAAAACCTATTTTATTTATCGTAGTCCCTTTGTGAAGCGCAATGGATAATTCAATTTTACGCAATTAACACAAATTAATATATATAGTAAGCTACGTTATAATAAATATATTTTCAATCGTTTAACACCGTTCTGCAAATTTAAACCCCTTTCGGCTTCTTTCACGTGGACATTTATGTTCTTGGTGTGCGCAACAAGCTCTAAGGAAACAAAAATCGTAGTAAATATGCCTATAAAAGCACGTGTAATAAACATTTTGATAAAAAAAAAATGTATATGTATACATATAACATTTCTAAAACATTTTCGGATGACAATTGTTATCAAAATTTTAAAGCTAAATAACGGAACGGAGTGCTCATATTGATGTATCTAATCTAATCCAATCGATAGTGCATCGCAAGGTGCTTACGCGATACTTTTTCAGCAGTCTGGCAGCCCTCTAGCTGACATGTTGGCTGGCAAAACAATAAAAGTGCTATTCCTTTATAATTTTACCATCGATATTTAAGAAATGAACCTATCGATAAATTCAAAATATTATTACTTACCAAAAACGCATCTTTTGCATTAAAAAGTATTTAAAAGTCAGTTTTGTTTATTTTTTATTATTACATCACACTGTGGAAGTTTATCATTTCAATTTGAAAGAGTTACCCAAACTGCACTATCGATATAACTTGCTAAACTATCGGTAGCAGCCAAAATTGATAACCATCGATATTATCGATGTTTTGCCAGCTCTAGTTTGTTTTATTTGCTTTTTTTATAATTAACCAACGTTTAATAACACACTAGGTTAAACGGTGTTAAATATTATGGCCAATGCACCGAAAACGCAAAGCCCAACGGATGGTCGGACCTCGGAAATTGCCACAGTGCAAAACACTGAACTGGCGGAATTTAAGCATCCACTTCCTAGCAGTGGCGAACGTCGTAAAATTAAACCAAAGATCTTAACCGAAGAGCGCTACATTGAGGAGATGTCCAAAATCATTCAGCGTGACTTTTTCCCCGATTTGGAACGGCTGCGTGCCCAAAACGACTACCTCGACGCAGAGTCCCGCCGTGATTTTTTACTAATGGCTGAAATACGCGCGCGCTACAGTCTGGGTCGTGCTTACGGCAATGGTAGCAGGCGCAATAGTCGCAATAATGGTAAATTTGTTACCCTCCCAGTTGCAGAGTCACTTAACAAGATCTTTTTTCGCGTTGCAGCCATGTCACCAGCAACATTCGAAACGCCATTAAGCACAGCCAATACCTGCCCAACGCCACTTCCGCAAACGCCAAACTCAAGCAGCAGCAGCACCAAGAGCAGCAAAAGTCACAGCCCTGCCGAAGGTGGAGGTCTGGATGCTATGGGACGTAAAATGTCATTGGACTCGTTTCTACAACACTACACCAGCGAGGATAATCAAAGCTTTCAGGAAATCATTGAGACGGCCGAGTTAAAACTGCGACAAAAGTACTCCGTGCTGTACAATCATGAACAGCTTTCCGCTGATCAGCTACAGCAAGCACTCATGCTGCCCAGCATTGAGCAGCAGTTCGAGGAACCCGATCCGTTGCGCAAGATCCAGACATGGAAATACACCAACATGAACTCTGTTATGTATGTGCCCGATGGCGTTGAAGAGACCGAACAGGAAAACGTTCAACAGGCCGAACGGAAGCAGGCCATTCGGCACAACGCCACCAGACTGCCAACTACATCCCAGCCCGAAACGCAAGCCAGCAATGCGGATGCCAGTGCGAGTGCCAATGGAACTGGTGAAGAGGTCAGCACGGGCACGCCACGCATTCGGGGTTTCGATTTGCTGCGCTCACCATCGCCGCGACCCGGCCAGGCATTCTCACCTATTATGACCTGGGGAGAGATTGACGGCACGCCATTTCGCCTGGATGGCGGCGATACGCCGCTACGCAACATGCCCGGACCCTCGTTTCACATCAATGAGAACTCGCGCAGAGAGAATATTGCTATTGCTCTAGCCGAAAAGGTCAGCGAAAAGATGCGCAACCAAAAGCAACAGGCACTGAACACGGCACGGCGCAACATAGGATCGCCTTTTGTGCGCTCTAGCATGGAACGTCTAGCCAGCATGTCGCCAGCTGCGCGACGCCTTGCCACGGGCAAACTGGGCCTACGCACCCACACACCCTTGATGACACCATCGCCGGCAATGCGCAAGCGAAAGATCACTCCCAACGTGGTGCGTACAATGCCATCGAGCACTGGCAAACATACTCCGGCTAAGGGTACCACCACGCCAATTGATACCGGCTCCACTCTGACGGATGACTTGCTAAAAATACCAGCAAAAATACGAAGTGCAGCTGCCGATTTCTTTTAGCAATCTAAACTATTTTAACAAGTTGTTTATTTGTATTTAATTAATGTAGAATAATGTAAAATCCATGAACCGGAAAACTTAAGAATTTATATTTGAATGAGCCTAATCTCGGTAGTCCACATGATCGCCCGATTTAAACTTTTGTGCGCGCAGCACCTGCAAGAACTTGGACACTGTCTGCTGTGGCGTGAGCATAGTCTTGGATTCGCGTTGCTCCTTAAATGCAGCCGCCAATGCCGGATCATGTGACTCCCTCTGCACCTGGAGCGTCATCTGTGTGTCAATAACGCCGGGCGCATAGTTAAGCACCAACGTTTCCGTCGAGGGCTCCTCTAGCGCCAGCACACGGAAATACATCTCACGGGCCGCCTTCACCGTACAGTAGTAGGCCATTGAAGAGAATGGCTCCAGTGCCGCCAATGTACTGAGATTCACCACCAATTTGGGAATGCCAGCAAACACCCGCATGAATTCCGAGTTTAATGCCAGTGCCGAGAACAAATTGATATGATAGTACTGCTCCAGTATCTTAGTGTCAGCCAGCTCCCTGGCATGCTGTGAGGTGTCGCCCAGCGTTCCCGCATTGTGCACGACAATGGCACGCTCAAACTCATTGCAACCATTGACCGGCAGTGTTTTATCGAAAATGCGCCCAAAATCTTTGGCACTGGCCGTGGCGAGCTCCAGTGAGCACGAATGCACGTCCAGTTTGGGACGATCCGCCAGAATGGATGCTTTTGTCTCCTGCAGCAGCGGTTCACTGCGACCGAGCAATACCACCACCGAGCCTGTGGGCAATAACTGACGCGCCAATTGCTCTGCCAACTCCCGGCCAATGCCGCGCGAAGCGCCCGTTACCAGCAAATAAGTGCGCTGCTCCAGATTCATGGTGAAAGGCAAGTGTATATTAAACAGAGTCCAAGCACAGCGTCAACAGTTGGTTGCAGGTTTATGACTGGCTACTTAGGGCAGCTTCTTGAAAGCTTCGTCGAAAGCTTTGAAGTGTGCGTATGTATCGGTGAGTGTGTACATATAAGTTTTTAGTGTCATTTATATATATATATATGTGTGTGTGTGTGTGGCTGTCAATTTTGTTGTATGGAGTTAAGACACACGTTAGTTTAATGTTCGTATCAAAACTATATTGTTGATTGATGAAATCGCTTGCGATTGTAATTAATTTTTGTTTGCCTTGCTAAGCTTTAAGTTTGGCAACTTTGCTGAGCTTTTGCTTAAACTCATGCAAGTTTTTCTGCCCGGTTTACACAGCGCTTAATAACTTTGAGATTCGCTTGGAATGACATCGACATGAAAAGGTTATCGGCGCTACATGTTGTTCGCATTTAAATGATAATTGTTTATTAATTGTCGCGCTTCAGATCGCATAATAAAGTGCCCGTAAATGAATTTAAATAGCTGCCGCTTATCAATTGCCCCCGCCCGGAATGCAATTCCAACTTGTCAAGGTCAAACAGCTATAGTATTCAATGCATCAAGCAAGACTCAAGACGCAGCTCATTTACGCATCAATAGGGAAAATCTTTTTGAGATAGCAATACTTTGATAGCTTTACCTAATTTAATAAATATATAACCTAATTTCTAACCGCCTCCCTGCAGACCTATAAGACTGCGCTAATACGTATTTTGTATGAAAATTCACAGACTTATGCCTTCAGCAATAAATATAACAAAGCCAACATGTTTTTAAATGAAACGGTTCTCAAGCCTTACCCTATATAATAAGAACTTTGGAGAAGTAGGAATGTCACTAAAAACGAAAACATGTTTGGTTTTTTCTTTTTTCATTAAATAATAATCATAAAAAAACAACAGGAATTGAGTTTGTTCAGCTAATAAAACTAAAGCTAAATAATTACGATGGATTGACACACAGAAACACAAACCAATTAAACAACAAAGTGTTTATTACCGAAGATAACGAGATCATTTAACATACATACAATGTTTGCATGGAACGCACCAATTTTGTATGCAGCTACATACTCTGTTCCCGATCGACTCAATATACACTATAATTATGACGGCATGGGTCATTTGCCTCACACTTTAATTACAGCAACATTGTTGCCGGGCCGGCGATCGTGATTGGGTCTTATCAGTGATATATGTATGTATGTAGCTGCGTCGCTCCGAAATTTTACGCTGTTTTGTGAATGGTCAATCGACGACATTAGCGATAAGCTTTGAGTCATTCCCCCAGCGAGAAAGCAAACAAGGGAAGAGCAGAGGGATAGGCATACAATTCTCTAATATCCCATTTACACTATCAGTATGTTTCTGAACAATCACTGAATGTGAATCTTACGTATTTCGTGAGAAACTTTTTTTGCTATCTGGTAAGCATATTAACAACGGATATTAGAGCTGAATTTTCATTTGATTTCATTACAAAATATCGATATCAATCAGCTGCTGTTCCACAACTAGCAGCAGAGTGACCAGGCTGCTATACAAAAAAAATTCAAATAATTACGTTATTACTCAACAGTAAAGGCGAGTATATTGGATTTGTGTTGTGTCTGTCTGTCTGTCTGTCTGTCTGTATAAGTAAAATTTATTAGACTCTTAGAGAGGTAGAGACTCTTATCTTGGAATATGTACTCATGCATTTTTCTTTGCCACGCCCACTAGGTGGCGGTCGAAACATGTTAATCTAAAATCTAGCACAGTTTCAGAGCCAATGGCTTTTGATAACCAGCACATCCGCCTTTAAAGATGAAGCTATTGCGGCGCAACCCCACAAAACTCAATAGTTGATATTTTCTGAAGTCACAGTTTGACGGTCATTGCTTTCGGCTTATGATCCAAAAAATCAAGCAGTTTTTTTTTACAGATTAAAGCAGCGTTCAAGGTATGATCATAAAAATCTCAGTTGATTTTGTGGGATTGCAGTCTAATCTCTCGCGTAAGTATCCCAATCAGATAGCCCAAATTTAGAGTATCGTGAGTATTTCTGGCCAACGTGAATCACAAATGAGGAAAATGTTTAATGAAAGGAATGTTAGGCATTATGAAATCGGAATCTGATTCCTCCCTAAGGTACACCCCCATTGAGTATAAATAAGAAAAAATAGATGTTTTTTTGTTTCGTTTTCGTGTGTTTCGTTTGCGTAGCACGCACATTGTACCGTTAGTCGGACGAGGGTCATCAGCCAAATTTTATTCATTTCCGTATTCATTTGCACAAAATCTTGATCAATATCGTCAGCCATGTTAACATGCTTGTCTGCAGCAGTGCGTGCCAGTGCGAACCACCTCCAATGCCCAAGTGGATGCACAGACCACGACTGCATTGCTACTCATAAAAAGAAGGTGTCGTAGTAGTCGACATCATGACCGGACACAAAGGCGGTCTCCTCCAGGATGTTGATCAGCTTGAGTGTTGACTGCAGCGGCTGGACGCGTGGAAATTCCTGCTGTTCCTGATCGGACATCACAAGCAGCTCCTCTGGATCCACAATATTGCCGTTCACATCGCACTGGGTTTCATGCGTCTTAAACAGACCAGGCGCATAGCTGAGCACATGGACATTGGCGCGCGCCTCCTCCGAAGCCATCGACCGGAAGTACATGTCACGGGCCCGCTTGCATGAGCAGAGCAGCGTGCTGTACACCAGCGGACGCACCTGCAGCGATGAGGTCACATTGATCGCCAGCTTCTCGATGCCCTGCAATGCGACGGAGTTCAGCCAGCGTTGATTCAGTGCCACCGGCGCGTACAGCTGTTGCTGCACATAATCGGTCCATGCCTCTGCCGTCTGCGGCTCCAGCAGCATATGGGTGGCACTGTCACCCTCATTGTGCACCAAGATTGAGCGCTCAAAACCAAAGCCTTCGCTTTGGCACAAGACCTGATCCAGCAGTTGAACCCCATTGCTGTGCCGCTCATCCAGAAGGCCAGTGACTATCTGGACCGCATCTGGTTGTAAATGCTCCTTCAAATGCTGCTCCAACGATTCCAATCTCTTTTGGCTTTCATCCAGTAGCAGCGCCACCGAGCCGACTGCCAAGCGGCTGCATAGCTCCTGGGCAAGCGTCTCACCAAGCGGATTCGAGCTGCCGCTCAGCACCAGCAACGTGCGCGCATTCAAATCCATTCTCTTTGCCGCCATATTGAGTTCGAGTTTGGGTGTTCAGGGACAGGGAATCCAACTGCTGATCTTGAATAGGATGTAGACTGTGCTGTCTGCGGATGCTGTTGCGCCCACTTGCGACTGTACAACTGTACTAAACGAACTGCTGTGCTCCAGGCTGACTGGTAGACTCTGCTCCAGCTGATAAGCAGGCTATTAACCACGTGTACTGAATGCGAATTTATAATTGAAAATCAGACTGAAGCTGATATTATTTAAAGTCGACTAAGCGCCGGACACTATCTGCTGCTGCTACTGCTGCTGCTGCTGCTGTCCGCCAGCGATGAATCTTTCCGTGTTTGCTATTCTGAGCTCGCCAATCCGCGCGCCTCGCACTTTTATACTGCTCCCGCCTGGCGATAAGGTGATTGACACTGTTGACTGTGTTTCCCATTGATTCTGTTGCCGTGCGCATCCATTGCGGGCCTTGGGCATGACCATTTGTAATTAACCAATTGGGACACAATCGCACAGAACACGCGCTCAGCAGCTGATCAGCGTCTGGGTTGGTCATCATTGGATGTCTCTTAAGGCATATCATTTAGAAGATCTGGTCCAGTTCTCCGAAAATTTGCACTGATTGGGTAGTAAACAACAAACTGAAAATAAAATATGGTATCAGTACCCGCAGGAAATCAGTTACGAAATTTCCACTTATCAGGCTGATGCCCTGTAAAAAAAATAATAGACATTCCGACTTTATTTTGTATAAATAAATAAGTTATTATATTGATAATTATAATATTGTTGCATATCCTTGGAGATTTCAACGTGCTGATAAAACTGAATAGAAATAATTAGAATTACAAATTACACATGTGTACATATAAATTTAGGGTATGCATCTTTGTCATAGTTAAAAATATGAAATAGAACGTTGCTAAACAAAACGTGTGGGACTTATATAGTTACGCCCTATGACCCTAGCCTAGCTGCGATTATTCATTCACATATAATCATGTTAAGAAATCTATTATAGTTTTTGTATTATTTAATTTAAAATAAGCAGGCCATTATATCAAGAACTCTTAAGTAAACATGTTTTATATATTTCTTTATGAGTCACAATCAAGCTGCAAAGATTGTGATTGGCAGGTTGTTAAAAAAAAACTTACAAAGGACTTTCAAACTTTATATGTCAAAAAAATGTTACCAGCTCAATATTTTCTTCTTTCTTATAGAACATTTCTGTATATTATGTATATAGATGTACAGTTGTCGACATAATTATTTTGACAAACTTGGCTTTTGACTATCAGCGTTTGTTTACTATGATAAAGTTATAGGGAACATCGACCAATTGTGTACAAAATAAAATTATAAGTATATATTTTCCCGTCAAAATATGCCGACGGTTGTATATTTATGCACATGTATTGGCATTTAGAAAGAAAAATCATAGAGCAAATCAAGAGAAATTGTTTTTAAATTTGAAACGTACATTAAACGTGATTTACGCTGCGCATATTCGATTACAGCGATAACAACTGATATTTGCGCTTATCGATAAACACAATATGCAAGCATGTACACACATGTATATATACATATATTGATATGCACGGTTGTGTGTGTGTGTAATATTTAAAAACACGTAATTTCCCATTTTGTATGGACTTGTATGGTATAATGCTGCGCAGCTTCCATAAACAAATCAACATCGCATATTTTCAATCTCGTCTGCGATTCTAAATATTCACAAAAATTAGGTCAATGGCCCAATTTAGCTCTATGGACCAATCGAATTCGAAGACCCTGACGTTGACCCAAATTGATGGCGGGATAATTGGGAACGCAGCGCAAATCGGACGAATTGTTCAAAATGCTTTTGTTTTTGCACAACTTTCATTGTTAACTTTTTGGCTGCGTCGACGCTGACAGAGACAACGCAAGCAGCACCAGCGATATAAATTTCATGGAATTTGCCGAGTTTTGCGCGGTTTTGTTTATCACCACATCCCACAACATCATCCACTTGTCGCTAGCCGCTCGCCGTTGGCTCATTGGGCACGTGCAGCCGCCGAGCGAAAGCAGCGATGCACCTGAACCGAACGCCTTATGTGCTGCGGCCGCGGCCCTGGCGCGTAGAAATGAGAAAGTGTCCCTGCCCGATGTTGAAGCGAGCGATGCCAAATTTCATTTAACTAGAATCGCAGACAACAGGTATAGACAATAAGACTGACAATAATAATACAAGTAAAAACAACGACAAATATAACCGCACAGCAACAACAACGACGTGCGCTGAGCTTTAAATCTTGGGTATAAAACGTGTGGGTCGCTGCGGTGTCAATTCAAACGTTTAACGAACGCAGAGCAGCACGCGACCGATAAGAGGAGTCACCCACAGTAGCAGCATAATAACAATAATATTACCTTAACAACATCAAGTACCACTGAGATGCACGCCTGTAAATTAATGTTGAGTTTGCTGCTGGCGCTGCTGTGCAGCGAGGGCGTAAGTAGCTGCACTTGGCATATCTAAAATCGAATGCTTCAATTGGATCTATTTGCAGCTGCTGGCGGCCTGTGTGTGCTCGGAGAAGGGCACCGATTACTGTCAGAGCTGTCAGGGACCGACCATAGTGCGCCCGAAGCCCCGCTATTATGAGCCCAGCGAGGTGAATCTGTCGCCCATTGGCGACAATTGCTGGTGCAGCAAGCAGCTGATCGAACCCGCCCAGCTGCCCAAGACCTGCGGCAAAGTACGTGAGCTTTTTCAATATGTGCACGCGTTTAACAATCTGTTGAGCCGCCGCATGCTTGAGGGTGCCATCGAGGCCAAGACTCTGGCGGCACAACGTCTGGCCGAGCGGCTGCAGCGCTTAGAGCATGCGGACTGCCAGAAGCGGCGTAGCGTTCACATGGTTCCATCTGCGAGCTATGGCTACGGCCTGTGACTAATCCAGTGTCTAACAAGCTTAATCTTAGATTTATAGAACACAACCCAGTAGACCTAAAAGACTAGTATATGCATGCCCAGTACAACCCAGCACTATAATTCACTAATATATAATATATACACTAATATATACATGCATACATACATACATACTTACTTAAATTCGCACACCTGCATACATCCTCTGCAATAAGAGCAATAGCAATCGTTGAGCATTGTTTCCGCATGCAAGCGCTATCTGCGCCCAAATGTGTGCAGCAATAGGCCAATAGCAAGAACGTTGGGCTTGCAACATCATCAGTATCGTCATCATTGGCAAGTGTACCAGAACATCATCATCATCGTCACGAACATCATCATTCTAGTGGACTTGGGCATCGCTGGCGGCTATGTCATCATTATCATCCCGTACGTGCGCCAAGCATCAACAATCTGCTTGCAATGATAGAACTCAAACTCAATTCGATACCCAAAACTTTCGTCATTTCCACAGAAGCCGCCATGCAAACCCACCTGCGGCTGCCAACAGAGCGAAGATAGCAGCTACAGCAGCTCCAGCACCAGCTCCACTTACGATAAGTAAGTAACAAATCAACCGATCCTCTAATCATCGCTTGTTTTGCTGTGACTATTAACAAAAATGTTACTTTAGCATTGGCTATGCGGCTGAGAAGGCTCAGGATGATAGTGCTCCTGCCGATCCCATAAGCGTCAGTCTGGCCGCCCAGGCTGGCAAGGCTATCAATGTGCCCGAAGCAAAGCTAGCATATGGCTTCGTCCAAAAGCCCGTGGATGGGCAGCAAAAGGTTTTCTTTTCCAATGTGCCCGAGGAAAATCTATTCAAGCTGAAAAGCGATGTCATCACTCTGAAGAAACGCAACTATGCGGCCAAGGAGGAGGAAGAGGAGGAATACATTGAGGACGAGGAGGAAAAAGCCTCCGATGATGATGAATCGGCGCCACAGTTGACATATAAGCAGCTTGGCTACATTACCGAACAATTCAAGAATCCCAAATTTAAGAAGATCAGCTCCAGTAAATCCACCTACAGTGTGAAATCCAACACCGATAGCTACACCAAGGTGGGCGGAAGAGTGTCTGTCGATTGCGGTTTCAAGCCCGGTCGCGTCACATCCTATCGCAATGCACGTCGCCAGGAGCTAGATGGCAGCTATTATTAGACAGTATAAGCTCCGCCTGTAAATAATTGTATATGTATAGGGATAGATGGATTGATGTATGATGTATGTATGTATTAGTTAGCGTTTAAAATCTATTTAAATACACAAACATTGCAAATGTAATAGAAATGCCTTCAAGCTTTTTATAAACTGTGAAACAGTTTAAGAAAGTTAAAATTTATCTAAAATGAAGCTGAATATTCCATAAATATCTAGTAAATATTTGTGTATCCTTTTGCAATCAAAGGCAAATATATGCTAAGATATTTGTAATTTAAAGAATTCTTCATTATATATATCTTAGTGATATGGAAGCTCTGTTGAAGCTGATGGGCTCAAGTGTCATATAAAACTGGCCAGTAATATGATATCTAAACATTATTACTTATAAAACATTATTACTTTTATTTCGACGTCAAGACTGCAATCAGTTGAACGAAACAAAAAATGAATACCAGGTAAATTTGCAATAAGCAAAGAACACGATTTAAGTGCTCAGTTTTATCAGAATTTTTTAATTTTTTGCCCTAAAAGTATACAACACAGAGTATACATAAAGTTGCATATATAAAAACGTGCTCTTTTTAATACATCAATTCAAAATCGCCTTTTAACGGCCGAAATTTGAAGTATGTATGGATGGGCGTATGGTTGACTAATCGATATATCGATTAATCGATAGGTCAACGTTCAAAAACGGCGCACGCAAATGAAAGCAGTGCAAAGCGAGTTGCAAATCAAACAATTTAAATATTATTTTACTGCCCCTAAGCCCAAGTCCAAGACTTGATTCTGCACTGAAATGCAGAATGCTGGGAACATGACTTTTGTCAGAAAACATCGCTAGCGCAAATTATTTGAAAAGGTCAGCGTGACCAACAACAACAATAACAACAACAAAAGCGGCTACAACTACAAGAACAACAACAATATCAGCGGCTGCAGCAGCACAAACAACAATAACAACAATCAGAAAAAACATTGTTCAAGTTCAAGTTCAGCCACAGTCGTCGCCGTTGGCCAGAACAGACAGCGCTCCAGACGTGGTCGTTGGGGCTGCGTGAGAGATTGCACTGGATGGAGGCAAAGCCGATATAAAGAATGCGACCAGCCAAGCTTTGGCTAGTAGCCAGAACGACAGACACCAAAGCAGACGCCATTTAATACCGTTTGATATTCATATATATATATCCACACACCATGTTAATGATGCACTCGATCGCGTTGGCCCTGGTGCCGGCGCTGGTACTAGCGGTACTGCTGGTCAACGTTGCGGCAGCACCCACGCCCGTTCAGGTCGTCTATACGGGTGAGGAGGGCTGCGCCTGTCCCGCACAGCTTGGCTATCAGCTGAATGTGCCCAATCCGAGCAAGCCCAAAAAATACGAGGGCGGCGAGTACGGGTATCGCGTGGATAAGCCTGTCCAGACCAAGGCAAAGATAAGCTACAGCTTTGATTTCACCGTTGAGGAGCCACGTACACCCACACCACCCAAAAACAAGCCGGCCAAGCTGTACGCCAAGGTGGATCGCGTTACGGCCAACAAAGCAGGTGCATACTATACGATTCCAAGATTATGTTAGGCACTTGAACAAATTGAGTTATTTATTCACAGATTGTCGCGCCCAGCACAAGTCCAGCTGCAGCTGCAGCAGCTGCTCCACTGCCAAGCCAAGGTACGTAGCCCAGCAGTCCAACTCGAATCCGATTGCCAATGACAATGCCAATAGCAATGCCATACGTCGTCGTCGTGATCTGCGTACGCATGGTTCGCTGATGCGCAAGCGCCTAATGCGCCAGCAGCTGTTGCAGGAGCGTCCAGCTCGTTATGTTAAGTTGTATCACAAGGATCTAAGCCCACAGCAGCAGCAAAAGATGCGCATGTTGGGACTAGTCCCGGTGCAGGAGATGTCCTCATCCAAGACCAAACGCAAGTCGAAAAAGACGCCCGCTCAAAGCAAACGCTGGCCGGGCTTGGGGCGTCACTTGAGCAAACGTGACATTAAGGGTGAATATGATCTGCTGGAGCAGGAGCGCGCCAACGCCGATTTAACGGCTCCAGAGATCATACAATTCATGCCGGAAACGCTAAATCCCAGTTTTAAGCGTGGACAGTGCCATATGAGCTGTGGCGCCATTACAGCCACTGCACCACCCGAAACCACAGATGATGCTCAACAGTTCAGCAGCACAGGCGGCACCGAACAGCCTGAGCAGCCAGAGCAGCCAGATCAGCGGCAGCAGTCACAGCAGCAGGAGCAACAAGAGCTGCCGGAGCAAGCAGACCAGCAGGAACTGCCACCACCACCATCGCTGGTTAACTCAATTCCCGCCAAGCGTGCTGCGCTGGGCTTTTACCCACAGCAGATACCCTCACCGCTGACCGGCGTCTACAATGAGTATAGATTTGTGGATGACTCGCATCTGCGCTCTTTGCTGTCGACCACCTCGGTGCCAGATCCATTGGAGCAAAGCTCTACGCCGCTGCAATTTGCCGGCGATTTACAGTCGATAAGTCCACGCACCTATTCAAGACCCGTGCTTGGCGTTGGCGGTGGTTATCCCGTGGAGCATGTGGCTCGCAATCAGCTGGACAGCATTATATCGGGCCTTGTGTACCAGCATCCGGATTATGTTGATAACAATTCACATTATGGTGGCACCCTGGTGGATCCAGAGCCCGAGCAAAAGAAGCAAACAACCGACTTTCTCAAGAAGCTCATCGATGGTCGTCTGGGCGGTTGGGGCTTCGATACCTCCACTGAGCCCGAATCGGCGCTCCGAGCTGATTACTCGACAACGCCCTCCAAGACGTATGGCTACAATAGTCACACCCACGACGGCTACAGCGTGGATACATACAATATGCCGCCCATCAGCGACTATCTGCGCGCCTGGTTCTAGGTGTCACTGCACCTTCACCTCCATCTCCACCTAACACACCAACCCCAATCCCCAGCTAAGCCCGCGTCTAATGCGGGCACAAAAATCTCTTGTAATATATAGTGCAGTTGTTAGGGAACTCTATGGTTTACTTCTATGCTAGTTGGCTAGTTTATAATAAACATGAAAAACTCTTAAAAAAAAATACGAAAAAAAATAACAAAATAAATGGAAAATCATTGTGGCGTTTTTTTCACACTCTGATTCGCTTCTCATTGCAGCTGCTACGGCGACGGCGACGGCGACGGCGGCTATGGCTACGGCTACTAAAGCAGATGACCCAACGTTCCGGGCCAAGTAGTTGCCCGAATTCTGCTGAGCCCGGCGAATATTGGCGCGCATTCATTTGGGCCAGTGGAACAGCGCCCGCTTCACTTGTATATTTTGTATATATATATGATGTATATATATATTACGATATGCATATATAAATTGTATTTAATTTATTTCTCATATTGCACTTTTCATAATTCGGTCCGTCCATGTCCATTCCCCGTCCGTGGAGCGTTTTCTGTTGACGTTCACGTTTCAACGTCAACTTCTGAGTTATGCTCGAAAAGTATTCAATAAAATGTTGTGCTTGTGCTTATTATGTCTAATCGTGCATTATTTATTTCTATATTATGACTAATTATATTATGATATTATTAGTGTTCAGCATATAAGTAGCCAGTTACGAACTACACGAACCCACCTTTCATACTACTGCTACTTCCACAGCCCGCAGGCCCAAACTCGTGCCTTTTAGTTGCCAGAATGAGTGGAATACTTTGACGGAGAATAAATGTCATATTTATGTCTACTTTAGCTAACTATAACTCGAGGATTAGGCTCTTAACATATCTAGCTTCACATCTTAAATATGCATGAACACGAACTGTTTCGGTTGAACTATTTTAATAGAAACTGGCTGCAGTAATTTAATTTTTGATGAATTCTGACAATTCCCTCGCTTGTTATAAACAAAATATAATAATATATATATTTTAACGCCATTTAACATAATTCCAACATGCATTTCACAGTTACGTGCTCGTGTTCCTATCAAGGTTAACAAGCACTTTCACATCTTGTAGTTCAACTAGATTTTTCGTTTCTTATTCACGTTCATGTTTTCGCTGATCTGTCAAACTTAACGGATGTTTATATATCCGTTAAATATTTGACAACATGGCGACGCAGTTTCAAACAGGAAGTGGCCAATTTATCGATAGTCTATTTATCGACTAAGTCACAATTACTCGCAATCGCATCATTTCGTTCGAAAAGCGAAATTCTGATCAAATTTGTCTCGTCGTGCTCTTGTAGATTATATTCTACTATTTTTACTGGCTGAATAAGCTGCGAAAAATTGTCATGCATTTGTAGAATTCTCAATTGCATACCATTTACATTCCATTCGTTTAGACGAGCAACAATTTCATTTTTGCGTGCCACAAATTTTGCACAAGTAAAGAAAGTTCGAGATGCCTATCTGGCATATATCTATCTTAATTGTGCTCAGCGTTCTTTATTTTGCATTAAACTGACATATTCATAAATGGGTGTTTGCTTATGATTAACAAATACAATTGAGTAAATATTTACCAACTTGTTTGCATTTAATGCCTTCTCAAGCCTCACAATTTGCACTACTCATTAATAAATTGTGCCAAAAAATATAAAATCGTTCATCGTCTTCGATCTAAACAAATTAAAATCCAAGTATATTTGCGTATTTTCTTAACTGTTTCGCGTACGCAGAGTACAGTTGCCGCCAAAAGCTCGCAGCCGGAAATGGCCGCCATGTTGGGCGCTCATCAATGACAAAGTGCGTTGGCTACGTTCGTTTAGGAATCACAACTGACTTCATATGCTGCATTATTGGAGCAGCATGGGTCACAATGACCGTACGCGCCCATTGAGACTTGGCCAGTGCTAACAATTTTGATGACCCTCGGCCGGCTGACGCATCAAGATCAAGCAAGGTTGACAGCGATGATGTTGATGATGCATCTGATATCGGGGCATAGATCACGTCTGTGCGCGCGCTGGGTGACGGCTCGTGGCAAAACTGCATGCAGCTGCAATCGACTATTTAAGTCCAGTTCATTGTGGGCGCTGGGTTCAGTTGGACAGCCGTTGGAGCACATCATACATCAAGCATTTACAGAATGGGCGCGCCTGCCAACTCTGTTTGGCTGCCGCTGCTGCTAATGGCCATAATGTTATTGGCATTGGCACCGCTGGCAATAGCGCAGGTGAGTTCAAATCTCGCCTCGAGACGGGCCAACGAACTAAGCCCATCATCCAACAGAACCAGAACGACACCACGAGCAGCAGTCCCAGCAGCTCCAGCAGTCCCAGCAGTAGCAATCCAAGCAGCAGCACCACAATCCGCCCCAGCACCGTTGCTGATGTGGTTGTTGGTGGTGATCTGAAGAAGGCGGCTCGCGTTGAGGAGTTTAATAAAGACTTGGACGGCAATGCGGTCACGCCGAAGCCGGGCACAGACGGTGGCTTCTATGATGTTGTCGATGTGCTGGCCGCCACCAGCGCCGGTGTGGGCAGACCCAAGAGCGGCCAGACGACACGCATCTATACCACCGGCGATGTGAACGATGCTTTTTGGCTAAAGCATTTGGGCGATGACTTCAAGCATGCCATTCACCTACAGGTCGGCGGCACCAACGATGATTACAATCGCATCATCAATCAGACCACCAACGGTGTGCACGAGGAAGTGCATCATGAGTATCTGCCCGGCGCGGAGCGGCCAGGTGGAATGCAACAACAACTCCAACACCAACACCAACACCAGCAGCAGCAGCATCAGCATCAAGAGCAGCAGCAAGATCAGGAGCAGGAGCAGCAGCATCAGTTGGCCAGAGCTGCTGGTTATGGTCAGCCCAATTTGGTCACCCAGTTGAGTCTCGATGGCGAGTCCATGGCCCTGAAAGACAACTATCTGAGGCAGCAGGCACACCAGCAACAGCAGGAGCAGCAGCAAGAGCAGCAGCACCAGCATCAGCGCTATGCACATGGCTATCCACGGCCAAACACACGCTACAACCCACACACTGTTTACAGACACACATACCCACACATGCAAGCCCAGCATAGCACACAGCACACACACACACATACACACACACACACCCAGCACACACACCCCCAGCACACACACGCTGACAAGTCGCGTAATCCACAGCGTGAACGCTACAGACCTCAGTCGGCGCCATCTGGGCCGAGCTTTATCAGCTCCAGCGAGGACACGTTGCATACGTCGCAATCTCAGGCAGCGCCCACATCAGCCATGTCACCCAGCTCGAGTGGGTCGCGGCACGATGATCTAGACAGGCAGCTGCCGTTTAAGTCAGCCTTCAATGACTACGGCAGTCGACCCACGCGCGATCTGACCTATTTGCTTTATAAGCGCGGACTCTGAATTTACTTAATACACAGGGTCTAACTAAATTAATTTAGCTACTAACTTAATAATAATTTGCATTTAATAAACACCAAAACAAATACAAATTGAGTCTTAGCTATCTTTAACATCAATCTCTCACAATCGTGAAATGTTCGCCTTGGGCTGAATTTAATAATTCATTATAAAGCTAAGAAATCACGTAATTTAGTTGCCAGCTTCAGCAAATTTGTGGCGCATTTTAGTTTAGCTTTAGTATGCCATTAACTTTGTCAGTTCGGTGCGTTGATTTCGATAGACACACATGTGTATTGGTAAACGTACATGTATTAGTGCATGCTCGGTATGCCCTGCTTGTTTTCTCTACGCACTGCTTGAAATTTTGCCAGGCGTCAGCGTCCGTGAGCTGTGTACGTGTGCGTACAAGACATGGATTTTCGATTTTGAAGATAATGTATGATAACATAGGAATTATATGAATTGTGATTTAATGCTGCTTGAAATATATTTATAGCTGAGTGAGGTATATATGATATCTATCAAAGCGCTTTACTGTAATTTGAAGTTCTTTGCACAGATAACTTCGAAGCCAAAAATGACAAATGAGAGAGATCGTGAGCCAATTGGTGGATAAACATTAATGACTTTTGCGCTTTTTTCAGATTAATCCCTTCTTTTTTTCACAGGAATATTGTTTTTTTTTTTCGTTTTTTACTCATTCTTAAGAAGAATGCTTGGCAAAGTCTAAAATATGTTATCCGAGTAGAACTCAGATTCCGCTGGCATTTTATATTTGAGATAGTTTAAGTGATTTAAATTTAGCATGAGCGTGATAAGTCCAAGCTGCTGATAAGATTTCTGAGTAGGTTTTGTCACTTGAAGCTGGCTCAATTGTTGGCTATCCACATCCACATCTATGCAGAGCATTGTCGGCACTGCTGATGCTCTGGGACTGTTGCGAGTCCAAGACTGGTGCTGGGCAGCACAAAGAACCGCACCAGATAGAAGCACGAGCGCAGACAGACAGAGATCTTGAGAAGTGCAACAAGAACAAGAGAGTCAGAAGACGTCGTCGTCGTCGTCGCAGTGCAGTGCGACAAAAATTTGCAAATCGGAAATGTAAATCGGTGGCAATGGCATCGCAAAGATCACGTAGCCGGGGCCGTGGTGGTGTCGGCAACGTGAGCGCGATATAAATGCGGCCCAACGGTGCCATAGGCCGCTATAAAGAGCTAGCACCGTGGCCATCCAACGAGCAGTAGACATCTGAGTGCTGACACATCACGCATCCACACAAAATGCAACTTGGTCTCTGGTTTGGGCTTTTCGCCGTCGCCGCCGCACCGGTACGTTAACCTGTGGCCACCACGACACACCACGACACTGATATCCGATAATCTCCGCCAACAGGCGACTAATCATGTCAATCAAAATTCTGTTCTATTCTGTTCTGTAGCTGGTGAGCGCTAATTACGGTTCGCCAGGTAGGGGTGCTGGCCGTCAGATACAGTATCTGCCCGGTGGTCCATCGGAAGGCTTGGAGGAGTATGTGAATGCCGCGACCGGCGGCTCACAGCCATCAGCCAACCAGCTGACGGCACAGGCTGAGATTCAGCCATCGCCGGAGGAGGCACGTCGTCTGGGACGCGTCCAGGCTCAGCTGCAGGCACTGAACAACAATCCCACCTACCAGAAGCTGAAGAACTCCGAGGATATTGCCGAATCGTTGGCTGAGACCAATCTGGCTAGCAACATCCGTCAGGGCAAGATCAATGTGGTGTCGCCCCAGTATGTCGATCAGCATCTGTTCCGTTCCCTGTTGGTGCCATCGGGCCACAACAACCATCAGGTGATCGCCACCCAGCCCCTGCCGCCAATCATTGTGCACCAACCCGGCGCACCACCCGCCCATGTGAACAGCGGCCCACCGACCGTGGTGCGCGGCAATCCTGTCATCTACAAGATCAAGCCCTCGGTCATCTACCAGCAGGAGGTGATCAACAAGGTGCCCACACCACTGAGCCTTAACCCCGTCTACGTCAAGGTCTACAAGCCGGGCAAGAAGATCGAGGCCCCACTGGCCCCAGTCGTTGCGCCCGTCTACAGCCAGCCTCAGTCCTATGGCCAGCCCCAGGCTTACAACCAGCCTCAGGCCTACAGCCAACCTCAGTCATATGGCAACTCTGGTAGCTCCGGTGCTGGCCACTCTGGTCCCAGTTCCGATAGCTATGCCGCCGGCGCTGAAACCCCCCTCTACGCCAGCCCAGCTCCCTATGGCTCCCCCAGCTACTAAGCCAAATGCAATCTCGGCACTTGCAGCTGCTGTCGCTGCCAGCACAGCAGTCGAGCAGTCCGGAGCCCAGCTGGAGGGTGTTTAATTTAACAACTTTGTTTTTTTTTTCTAAATGCAAATAAAAAAAAAATAAGCCCAACATACCTATAGATATTGTGTTTACTGTACTGCCACGCCTCTCCCATCTAGCATATGACTCTATCAGTTGCATTGACTTTTCCCCAATATACAATTTATAATGCTTACCTGTGGCGTGTTAATAACGTGTACTTATGCAGCACATGAGAAAGCTTAGGGTGGGCGTAATTGCAGAGATCGTACTTTATCATTATTATAATATTCTAGACTTTGATTACTTATTTTGCAATCTGTGCATATATGCACTTCAACATATTGAGAACATAGACAGCAAAAGGGGCCAAGATCAAAGGCCGAACTGAACACTTGACACTATTTGACTGCTCAGCACTTTATTTTAGATCTCTTTCTGTGACAACTTTAGAAATTCTGCTGCCGTTTGTAGGTTACGAAATTACAATTATGAAATATATATATATATATGTATATAAATGTATACGTCTGTCGAGTGTTGGCGGAACTCAAGAAGCAGCATATTTGATCATTTGCATAAAACGAAATAGAAACTATTAAATGTAACTAATCTAGTTAGTCAAAAATATATCCATAATGGGGGCTCTAGAAAAAGAGGTGGGGTCTTAGTGCTACCTAAATGAAGAGGAACCTGTCGACCTGCCTCTTGCTAGAATTGAAAACTTTAGCTGCACATATGATCAGTTCTACAATATGAAAGGGAAACTTTTATGTATAATATATAATTAGTTAGTCGTCAATATGATAATAATACTAAGTAATAAGTTCTTTCAAAAACGAGCATTCCGCTTTTGGTGCTTCCCAAATGACAAGAAAATTGTCGAACTGCTTTTGATCTGAGCTGGAAAGGCAAACTCTTTAACAAGCTGCTTCCTCCTATGCCAAGAAATGTTAGTCAATAATATGTTTAGACAAATACTTCAATTTGCGATATTGTATAGAAAATCCTTTAAATCCAACATAAGTTAAAACTCTGAGATAACGAACTATCATCAATATCAATACACTAGCCACGGATTCGAGCCCAGTTCTTTATTCATTTAGATGCCCAAATCTGAATCTCTTAACTATTCAGCTCTTCGAGTCTGCAAGTTGTTTTAACTACGTAAGTTCTTAATATGTATGTATATTATATACATAAGAATAACTTAAATGGTAACACAAGCTGAATAGATGAGCGATTGATTATAACAATCGGTGCGTCCTATATATTAATAGATGATATACGTATTTTGGTATTTTGTACCTATTTATGACTGAAAGCGCCTAATCGTTTTTTGGTAGCTGTTATAAATCCAAACTCTCTAACTTTATACAAATTTGTATTAATATAATTGAGATATAGAGATGAGAACAATTAATTAAATAAATATAAACAATTTTAATGTCTGGCTTACCAACTGGAAGCTTGTCTAGACTAGCAAAGCCCCAACTTTAGTTAAATCAAAACTGAACATTAATTTGTACCAGCCACTTCCTCGGAATTGTCAGCAACTAATTTTTTACAGTGTATGCCACCTCTGGACTAAAAATGTTGATTTAAGGGATTTGAGTACAAATATGAATACGAGCACTGAGCCTCTGCAGATTAAGTAGTCAAAGTTGTGAAACATGAATGAATTCTTTAAAGAAATGTAAATTAAATTATTGAAATTTAGTCAACCGTAATGCAATTGTTTTCAGTGTAGTATGAAAGCATTTGACAAACATCTAAAACAATCAATTAGTAGCTAGATAATTTATCCTAATTTTAACGCGCTCGTCTAAAAGGAGCTGGGCCTGGGCTTTGGTACTTACAATGCGGCAGAGATCAGCTGCAATTGGAGCGACAATCGAATCGCATGGAGCTTTCAATGCGGAACTGTTGACAGCCATTTGGCAATCGCAATCTCCGCAGACAGTCGGTTGCTTGTTGGTCTGAAAAACCTCGATATGGCTTATGTGTCAGGGCACGATGCACGAGATGGGAGCTGCGGATTGTTGGCCGGTTAATATTTGTTATTGCTTTCTACGTAACACGCCGAGATATGCGCGACAAGATGCGTGCGAGCAATCAGCATTTGGCCATGTTTCGCTAGCTGGCGTGGGCAATAGCAAAATAAATGCAACAACAACGGGCCGTGGCTGGAGCGGAACCAGCGGCTAACCGGCAGCGGCTGCCGACCGGGCCAAATGTCACGTACCATAGGGCAAGCGTCCGATGGCAGCATATTTAAAGAAATCTCTGACCGAACTAAGGCAGCAGAAGACATCAGACGGTCGCACAACGAGCCACTCGAGTTCGAACTGCCAACTGGGACTGGAAACGATGAACAGACACAGCTTCATTTGGGCGCTAGCCGCCTGCTTAATTGTACGTAACAATACGGCCAGATCTGTGGCTATTCGCCGGTCGATGATGACCCGCAGTCGCAGCACATCTGAGCGAATCTCAACTGAATTCAACGCACAACTTCATTTGCCTTTCTCTCTTTCTTTCTCTCTCTCTCTCTCTCTCGCTCTCTCCCTTTCTCCGTTTCTCTCTCAGGCATGCGCCAGCGCTAACGGCTACGGCGGACAACAGGGCTACAGCTCTGGCGGCCAGGAGGCCTACGGCTCTGGCGGACAGCAGAGCTACAGCTCCAGCTCTGATGGTGGCGATGCGGCAGCCGCTGCATCCGCTGGCGGTGCTGGTGAATTCGGCCATGCTGGTGGTTTGGGCGAAGGCGCCGCTGCTGGCTCTTTGGCCGGTGGTGCTGATGCCTCGGGCGTTGCCCAGGCCGGCCAGAGCAGCTATGGCTCTGACCAGAACATTCCCTACAAGCCGGTGAACACCAAGGGCAACACCCTGACCTCTTCGATCACATACCCACAGAACAAGGGCGAAATTCTGATCCATCGTCCGGCCCCCATCATTGTGCGTCGCCCGCCCACCAAGGTGCTGGTCAACCATCCTCCATTGGTTGTCAAGCCCGCCCCAGTTGTGCTGCACAAGCCCCCAGCAATCGTGCTCCGCAAGGTCTACGTCAAGCACCACCCACGTCGCGTCAAGGTTGAGCCTGTCTTCGTCAATGTGGTGAAGCCCCCAGCAGAGAAGTACTTCGTCAATGAGAACAAGCAGGGTTACGGTCAGGGCTCCCACGGCGCTGGACAGGGTCATGGACACCACATTCTGAACAGGCCCGGTCCCATTGTGTCTGGTCCTCAACAGCATGGCCCCGGTGGCCAGGCTCTGCCCGCCTACGCCTCTGGCGCCGACAATGCCGCTGCCAGCGCTGGCTACCAGCTGCTCCAGGGCGGCAACCATGGTCTCTCCGCTCTGGCCAACATTGCCGGCGAGCGTGAAGGTAACTATGGTAGCCAGAGCTATGGTGGTCACGGCCAATCCGGCCCCAGCTACTCAGCTCCGTCGTACTAAGCGCAACGCTTACGACGCTAGCGCATCCAGCTGCCAGCTACCAGCCTACCTCTGGCTGGTCTTAGTTACTATGTTTTTTACACGGCTTGGACGCCCACAAGGCGGGCGCGCAGGTTTCTTTGCAAACAAATAAAAAAAATTGAAAAAAAAACACACACATTTTGTTATAATTTTTGGTTTTCCTCATTGATAAATATCTATTATGATCAGATTTTAAAATAATAATACATAGTTAAATTCAGCAGATATAAGCTAAGTTATTAATATTTATTTTCAGCTTTGCATTGCTTTAACAATTTGACATAAGCATAGTGTAAAGCAGCTTTTTGAAACTTAACGATTTTAAAAAGGCTGTGGCGCCAGCTTCCAAAGGCTGCCACACCGTAAGAGTCAATGAAGTCTGGCAAGTTTTGTTTCTGCCAAATGGTATTTGTTTCCTCCTTGAGCAAATTCGCAAGGCATTGAGTATTTTTAGTTTTAGCACCAAAAAATCACAATTAATTGATTCGCAAAAATACATACATAAAAATGTACGAAAATAAACAAAGGCATTATTTGTTTTAATTTTAATTAAGTCGAACTGCCTATAACGAATATAAGGGTTGTTTACACAAGTGAATCTTTTATGGTATATATTAAATGGTATATACTGCATCTGTTTCTATAAAATAGTTTTTGCTCAGGTGGCAGCCCTCATGATAATTGTTGCCATTTATTCCTGTTACCTTAAATACCGAAAAATTAAAACTTCTGGTCACACTGCAGAGCAAAGCTCCTTTCCGAATTTAACATTCAAATTTGTCTGGACAGTTATTTTAACAACAGGTTAAATGGAAATCTTGTAAAATAATACAATTTTTAACTAGAACTATTTATATGACGGATCTGAAATGAATCATAATATGAAACATTCATGCAAAGTAAATAAAGAAGAGTAAAGAACGAAACGAATTTATTTCATAGATAATGCTTATAATTGTGGCAATCGGAGTAGATGATAAAATAACATTTAAGTGTGCAATGGGGAAAGTATTCTTTTACTTGCACTTCCTTATATACCTACCTATAAAAATATATTTATGTACGACAGTTAATTGCTTAATACGTGATGTTATAGGTATCTGTAGTTAGTTTTTTTGTAAAACATATAAGCCAATAATTTACTTTTGCAAGTGTTTCTCTGCCTCGGCTATAATTGAATATTCAAATTTGATACGTTTCAATTAAGAAGATTGTCGGGGTGAACTATGAAACATTAATGTAATATATAGGTACTTAATAGGTTGATGTGAGGGTTAGGTTGAGACACACTCCAAATCTTGTCACACAATATTGATTATGATAAACGCATTGCGTGTTAAGCAAACTGCATGCTAAATGCTTTGCCATCGAGAGATGACAAAAATGATAATTATTTTTGAATTACCCTCATCTGGCGACCTCCTGCTGTGAGAGGTCGAGTCGCTACACCTCCTAATAAAAATGACAGCAATTGAAGATGCAAAATAAAATAAAAAAAAAAAGTACAATAACAACCGAGTTTAGCACAATAATCGAATGTGACTCAAAAATTTGAGATCTAGGTCGCCTGGTGCCGCCGCCCATTTGTCGATTTGAGAATTCAGCATAAAAATCCGACACTTTTGTGAAACGTTTTCAGTTTGTAAGCATAAATCGGGCACAAAAACAAAATAGCAGAGCGCACTGAAAAACCAAAAAAAAATACAAAGCGTAAAAAACGAAACACTACGAAAAACTGTTACAAGTTCAACGTGTGCAAAAGAGACGGCAAAAGAAAAACTTGACTCGTTCAAGATGCGATTCTTTTCGATGGTTGCGTTATTGTTGCTTCTGGTTGTGATGCTGCTCCTTGGCCAGGGCTATGGCCGCAACCTGGTAAGTGTGGCGCCTCCGTCTGGAACAGTCAAGTGATTTTTGTTCAAAACCTTTTAGCCCGTTCGGATGCGTGCTCATCGCCAGACAACAGGAAAAGCGTTTCCACACTTTTTCCAGCTGGTTCTGAACATTATGAGCAGCCTACACCAAATCGAGTCTTAGAAAGAGCCGTGCATATTATATTGCTGCGTTTCCTAATACCTTGGTAACTAAACAATTCGTTTAAGTGTGTATGCCAGGGCTGTAAATCCAATCAAAATTGTTCATCGGTTCCGCTTACGAACCGAACCAGCTCCCAACCTTTAGGTTCAGTTTGTGAACCTGGCTTTCCATATCCTACGAACGCAGGGCTAGGATCGAACCTTAACTTAAGCTAAAAACATAAATGGTTCGGTGGTGTTGCTTTTCTGCGATAAATTATTAAATCCCAGGTTCGAACCGGTTCGGTTCGTTTTCCAGCCTTGGTATATACATCCATTCCATATACAAACTTTTTGAACTATTTTTTTTTTCAGCATCGTTTCGGAAGTCCAATTCGCAAGGTTTTTCAAAGTTGATTTCAGTAGTGTGCTTTTGAGAATGATGGTTTCTACCTCATCAGTCTAATAGTTGGTGAAAATAGCCCGATAAACAGAATGAATATTTCACTAAAGCTTTCGAAACACCACGTACAAACGAACCATTACCAAATTTCTCCCAATAATCTACACTTCCGTAAATTTTATTTTTTTTTCGTGTCTGGCCATTTTGATTTTTATTCGTTATAAGGTTACATATTTTTTGTGGTTCTTTGTTAAATAATTTGTATATATATACATACATGTGTATTGTTGATTGTAAATTTTAAATTGTTGTGTGAAGAGGTTTAACATTGTAATTTGTTAAAAAAAAAGAGAAAGCAAACCGCTTTTAAGTTTAGATATATACGTTAGCTAATAATTTTTAAAAATGTATAAATAAATTTATTGTAAATGCGTTTCTTGTTGTTGCTCTCGAAATTGAAGTTGTTAGCTAATAAAATCGCATAAAATTGCATAAATTACATATTTAAAATTGTTGATGTTTTTGTTTATGTTGCGTGTTAAATAATGCGATAGTTCTATGGATTTTATATGTTTGATTTGATATTGAACTGGTTCACTGTGTTATTTTTAAAATTATATTTTATACAAATTTAAAACGGCGAATGGTTATTTAGTTAATGTTGTTCGAGCAAGTTCTAAAAGTCGATGAAATGCAAATTGTGAAGTTGGCTTATAATTAAATACATAGTGTGAATATATGTAATATGTTTATATGGTGAATGTAGTATATAGACTGCGTTGTTCGTAGTTGCATACAAATTTGAAATCGAGTCGCGGCGCTTTAATGACGAGGTGGTGGCCCATAGCCGGCTGACGGAGACTGCTGTGCATTTACTCCGCCTGCCTCTATATTATAGTTATTGATCCTCTCGTACGGCATTCCAGCTGGTGGTGGCGCCATGCCCCAAGCATATGGATTCTAAAGAGAGCAAAAAAAAAAAAATATTAAAATAAATATGCTATCGTATATGCAATACAATAGTTTACCTGACCACCCTTGTGGGCGGCAAAGAAAATCGGCGGCGGCATTGGTGGAGGTGGCAATGCTTGTTGGGTTGGCGGTGCCGCCTGCAGTGTGGGATAAAAGTTAAACTGATTGCCGTTGGTGTTGGGCGATGGAGTTGGCGTGGGCAGCAGCATTGCGTGCGATAGATGTTGATCTTTGTTGAGATCGGGCAGCTGTTCCGGGCGCTTGGAGCGCGCCTTGTTGAAGGCACCACGCTTGGGACGAGAGCGCGTCTTGTCTGCGTTTGGCTCCGTAGCGGGTGAACATGGGGAATTGTGTCCAGTTGCTGCCACCGGCGAGGGCGGTGGGGTAGCGTTCGCTGCCAGAACAACTGCCTCATCGTTCCTTTCCTTTTGTTGTTGGTCCGTGTTGTGATAGTTTTGGTTGTTATTCTTGTTGCCGCACATCCTCATCTGTTCGTCGGGCGTCAGCAAATGAGAGAAGCGCATATGCATATCAACGCCCATATTATAGAAATAACGTAAGGTGCCCAAATCAGCGGGCAAATCCTCGCCATTGGCATGTAGCGACCGGCGCGGCTCTGTCTGATCCTCGTTCCAGCGCGTTCCAATTTTGCTGGTGGTAGTCGTAGCAGCGCTGGTGGTGCAGCTGTTGTTACTGCTGGTGCTGCAACTAGAGCGTTTGCCTACCGAGGGTACCAATATTGAAGCCGGTGGTGGCGGTGGTGGTGGTGGTGGCGCAAACATATATGGTGCTGTGCCAAATGGCGGCGGGTGCGGCGGTTGCAGCGAAATGGGCGGCGGTGGCGCGTATCCACCAAAGTGCATGAACATACAGCCATCGGGTGTCAGTTGCGGTCCCGGAAAGACGCCAGCCGGAAATTCCTCTGGCATGGGTAGCGTCGATCCGCGCCACGGAGGCGGAATATGACCAGGTCGCCCACCCATGGGCATATAGTTAACAAAATGAGTAGCTGGCGCTTTTGGATGTTGCGGTGACGGCAAGGAGGATGCACCAGCAGCTGGCGGTGCTGGTTGTGGGTGCAGCAGCTGCTGTTGTTGCTGCTGAAGATGTGAGTGCTTGTCGCGTGGCTGGAAGCGTTGCTCCCGCGGTTGTTGCTCCAACTCCACCGACTCATTAACCTCAACCTGTTGCTGCGATTGTTGCTGTTGTTGCAGACTGCCATGCTCATTGTACAACGGAGGACAACCGTAGCAGGTGTCTAGCTGCAGATACTGCAAAACCTCGCACTTGCTTGCCTCAAAGTAATTGGCCACATCATACAGCTTGGCCTTCTTCCACCTGGGCTTGGGCTTTTGACTCAACTTGGCCAAATGCATACGCTGCATCTGACGCTGATAGCGGAACGGCACCGCCCACGGTCGGAACTCATCCGGCGGCACCGGATGCAATGATTCGTAAGGCACCTGGTTATACAATGAAATAGAAGAGAAATCAATTAAAGCTGGTAGAAATTACAAATTTTGGGCAAGGGAGGGCCGCGCTGAAGCAGCTTCCAAGGAGGGGTTTTGGGCGTACCAAAAATTTCTTTCCAAAGTGCTCGACATAGACAACACAGTAGGACTTATCAGCGCTTATCTTTTGAATGTGGCATGTGTACAATTGTCTTTCGGCATCGATCAGCAGCTCCACGCGGCACTTGGCACCCACCTGAAAATGAGGAGCAGGAGTCAGGATTGGAAGCAATTAACTTGGATGTGGATTGAACTTGGACTGGATGCGTTTGATGGAGATAGCAGTAATCAGATAGGCTGCGAAGTCGCCACTTTGGCTTGGCCCAGTACACACCTTGAAATTATAATCATTGGCGTAAACATTATAGCGCTTGGCCTCCTTGCGCAGATCGTTCCAACTATCAAATTCGATGTTCCGATACATGTAGGGATCCAGGGACTTAGCCACCTTGTAGGGAAATGGGGTGATGCCTATGGAGAAATAAAAGCCATTACATTATGGTGTCTATATATCTGTACATATCTGTGTACATCTGCTTACCATCATCTAGCAGCTGACGCACACAAGAATTCGTTGGATTCGGACACATGTGCAGCACCTCTGTACTCTCGCTAGTTATTAAGCTGTTCAGCGGCAGTTCCAGCCTTAGATCGCGTCTAGATGGGGACTCCGACGCAGAAGACACAGATGTGGAGCGCCTTTCACCCAAACCTTTCTGTGGCAACTGCTTGATATTGCTATGAAAATTGCAAAGCTTGTAGTTCTCGAGTATACACTTTGTATTCTCGGGCAGATCAAGCGAAAAAGTGCGTCCATCGCAACAGATAATGCGCACAAAGTAGCCCCTCGCATCGAGCTCCACCTCGTAATTGCCCCAATCGAATGTTTGCGGATGCAACATTGACTCAACCGCGAAATTCACGTCGGGCAGCTTGAAGAGCATCTTATAGAGCAGTTTAAAGCTGATTGCTGTAATATATTTAAGCCCGCAATCAATACACTCTTTATCTTTTGAATAAGAAACAACTAACACTGGCTTATTGCCGCCGTTTCAATGTAGTCCAATGTGTAAACAGAATCAAAATGAAACTCATTCGTGTAGAACACACGAAAATTATCCTGATAGCGCTCGTTATAGGTCACTGCGGTGCCCAAATTGAATGGCTCAAACAAGATGACATTGCGGCTAAAAGCATACAAATTAATTCACAGCTCATTTTCTGAATTCTGCGAATTACTCACCGGTACATGCAGCACAAGGCACGCAGCTCCAGCATGGTACCATATGTCTTGGGCTTGGCCATGTCCAGCATATAGCTATCAAAATCGCCACGCACATGCTGTGTAAATATGGTTATATATAAGAAAATAATAATAATAAACACAATCAATTTGTAACGTTTCATCAGATTAGCCATTTAGTAAACCATTTTGATGACTTAAACGACGATTGCATTTTGAATTTGATTGAATTACAACATTAATAGGTCTAGATCTTGAGTTCATTAAAGCAAAAGGAATCATCTTTCGAGACTAATCGCTTTTATATTAAAGATATTGACTCTCCCGCCCACTTTTAATAGTTACCTGTTCGAAGATGCGTCGCTTTCGCGTCATGAAACGCACGCACTCCAAGCGAACCTCGTAGTGGAGCATCTGGGTGTCATACATCTGCTCGGCTATTACACGGAAGAGGCATGATGCGTCCCTGGCCGTGTGCTTGCGATACATGCAGCGGCTCTCCAGAAACTGATCGTACGGATCCGGCGCCTGCCGGCTGCCGGAGGTGATCGGGCGCCTCAGCATCATGGTAATGTCCAGTTGGGCAATGTGCGGTAAGTGCTGCATTTATCAGAATTCCACTTCGTTATTTGATATAATACAACAGATTGACACGAATGAGATCACGAATAAAACACAATATATAAAAACGACATTACAAATACACAAAAATTAAAATGTATATTAGCTAATAAAATAAAACGGATAACATTAGATATCACTTTAGTACTTGCACTTGCATGCAAATTTTTTTTGTTAATACCCAAAATACATACATATATTGATAATGATTAAAATATAACACGCTCCCACCTCTAGCTACCGTTCTAGTTTCTTGTTTCTGTGTGTTCACTTTATCGTGTTCTTTTAAATTGATGAACGCCGCCATCTTTAAACTTGTTGGTCGTTCACTTTGCGCAGCTATGTATTTATTGTTTCTGCTCTATTCGCATGGCGAGTCAATGCGGCTGGTGCAACGAACGCTCAAACCGAAAAGCACCGTTACTTTTTGTCGTACGCGCTCATCGCCTTTGTGTGTACACAGGAATACATATGAAACTGTGTGTATGTATGCATGGCAATCGGTGCGTGCTGCGCTCAGTATTTATTGCGAAAGCAGAAAAGTCTCAGCTATGGATGTACATTTGTATGTATCTTCGTACTTACATACATATATATAATGTATGTATATACATAAATGGTATGCAACTTATAATTATTGACCAAAACACAAGGAGTGTACAATTAACATTAACTAGAATCGTACTTACCCACAATCTGCAGACGCAAATTGATTATACACTCGAAATATTTGGAAAAAAACACAAAATTTTCAATTGTTCACTTGCCAGCAAAATCAAATGCGGCGGGGGCCAGGGGCAACACACACGTAAAGAAAGCGAGCAAAATATATGTACATGTGTACACAGATATTTAAAAAACGAAGAAAATATTAAAAACAAGACAAACGAGTGTTTTTTGCTGTTATCCCTTGTCCGGCACTTAATACACTGTGTCCTATTTGCGAGCTTAAACAAATCTAGCCTTCTTTTCAAATCAAGACTATACTCCAAGAATTGCTGGCTGCTATGAGGATCAAATGAGTATCGATTTTGAATCAACACACTTTATCGATACTTTGTAACGACAAGGATGCCAGAATCTTCACCGAATTCGAATTCGAACAGCCGTTGTTTTCAAAATTTATATTTCTAGTTATGGGTGAAATCAGTCAACTTTTTACTAAACGGTTGTCATACTAATTTTTTACATAATCATTTCACAGAATTTTCATTTGTAAAAAAGTTATTTGTTGGGAGAATAATAACGGTTTTTTTTACATTTGGTTTAAGTTCGCAAACCCAAGGGATATTATGAACATATTCGAATACACATATTTGTCAGCAGAACGTGTAACAATATTTATAATATCATCGATAAATTAGTTATCGATGAGCTGTCGTGCTTGCTTTCATATGCACATCGCGAATAAAAGCGCCTTTTTGATTTTGCATATTGTTTTTGTTGTTGTCCCTTGGTACATAATGGGGTGGAAAGTGTCGCCGTCGCCGTCTACGCTTTTCATCGTTGTTGTTGCTGCTGCTTCAGTTTGAAATTGTAAGTCAATGAAGCGAGTAAACTTCAAGTTCGCGCTGTTACCGCGACTAAAGTTGTCTGGAAGAGATGTGAGTGCTCTTTTGAAATTGTTAAATGTTGTTATTTTTGTTGATTTCTTTATCTAGTAAGTGTACTTTTTTGTTTGGTGTTCAAGTGTCTCTCTATCTCTCAATATCTCATTGTGTTGCCATCTCTCCATGCACACATTTAGCGGCAATACTTTTGTTTTTTGTCTAGAAAAAATATGAAGCCTAACATAACCAACAAAACAACAACAAACAGTCAAATGCAATAAATCACCCAATTCAAATCAGCTAATATTACACGTGCCATTGCAACCAACAATATTTGTTTACATACACTTAGTGGTCCGGGTGCGTGCCAAACTCGTGAGTATTTCATTTGATTATGAAATTTAGTAAAAAGGCTATCCACCCGCGCGTCATCGTTGCACTGTCAGCTGCAATGTGCAGCTATTTTCCCACGTTCATTTTCACCTTACATTCCGCCCCTGTTGGTAAAAATCAATATAAAACAAAGAAAACAACAGGCAAGGTTTGTGTAACTTGCACGTGTTATGCCTGTGTGCGGGTGTTGTATGTGTGTGTGTGTGCGTGTCTGTCTGTGATTTGTCAAATATGAAATCAATAAATGGTTAATCAAATGAGGCAGACAATCGGGGGAATCCTCAAAACCGTTTTGGACTTCTCGTTGTTTAGACGGCGGCGACAGTCGAGCACCGTCTCCATGTACATGTGTGCGCGCCATGTGCTCACACACACATGTACAAATTGAGCGGCATTCGTTGTGCTTAATTTTTTCAATGAATGAAATTGGAATTCGCTTGTTCTCTTGCTTGCCACCTTTCTTCCTTTTGTTTTTGTATTTTTTTTATTTAACATTTGTATGTATGAATGTATCTGTGTAAGTGCTTATCGAAAAATGGGCCAAGTTCAGCTGTATTCATGTGTTTGCATATGTATGTGTGTATGCCTTATCAAAACGATTATCGTGAGGTGTTAAGGTCAACTGACTGTGTCAATGCCATGGGCTTCGGCTAGCGTTTCGCCAACATTCGCAAAGCCTTATACCCACACACACACATACACACAGACATTACGTGCGACTGTGAGCCTGACACTCTAACTCTTTCTCTTGATAGTCTCTTTTCCAGTAACTCTTTTGAGTTTTGCCTGCTGGCAAATATAAGTTGATTGAACGAAAGCATATTTGGCCTTATCAACAATTGTCGCAGCTGCTACTATCCTGCACACGTGCATATATACATACACACATATATCTTATCTGTCTGTTACCGCTATGATAAGTTCATGCCAGTGAGGCGTCCTATATCCCCGTCTCGCCGCTCTGTATGGATGTGCCATTCAGGCGCGAAATAGTGTTTGGGGGAGCTGGTTCTGGTTTTGGTTTTGTGCTTTTTATGCTTTTGCTCTCTTTGTCTCTCCCGCTCTTACGATAAATTTCCCTTCCTTTTGGCATTTATTATTATTGTCTTTTGTGTCTGCTGCTGTTCTTCGCTCTTGCCGATCGGCGCCAGATTTTGCCTTTAGTTTTCAGTTGCCGTTCAACATTGAAACTTGTCGCGTCAGCAGGAAAGGTAAAGTTTGTTCAATTTGAATGTGAATGTTTACTAGAAAAGCAGCAATCAACATTGCCGCAATCGCAGTTGGCGTCGCTGCTGCTTTAACCGGTTTAAATGTATTCCGGCTGTCGCTGTCGATACTCGCGAGTTGTTAGTGAACAGTGCGTGGCCAGTATATTGGGCCTGGTTTATTCTGCCCAAATGCTACTCTACAGCTAATTCTGATTGCGCTTATGTGTTGGTGTGTGTTTTATAGCCCGAACTGTACGCCTGTACAAAATAGGCTTTGTCTTAGTTTTGCTTTGGAATTACTACATACATACATACATTTTTTCTTTTGGTTCTTATCTTATTACATATTTTCTTTGCAAAATTTACGCCCACTTGTCAGTTGTTATCGTCGTCGTCCACTACGTAACCGAGGGCAGGCATCATGAAGCCGATGAACAGCAACATGAACAGTGGCGGCGAGAATAGTGCGTCCAGAATGCGTCGCAGGCCCATACGTAAGCTATTTATAACACAGTTATATTATTTGCTATCCTTTTTATTTATAGACACGTATTTAGTTTTAGTTGCATTTGCCACATCAACAAATTTCATTCTATTTAACTAAATGCTTTAATTACATTTGTTTTGGCTTTCAGTTAGTTTGCTTTTTATTTTGTTTTTGCCTTCTCATTGCAGTATATACATACATATTTTAATGCATGCTATTTAAAATATATTACATGCATTACACCATCACACCTAAACAATACGTATTTAATTATTTGCTTGTAATTATTAATTTTTACATTTATTTATACTTATCTATATGCTGGCAATTATATTTTTCTTCAATGGCTAGCAGCTTGGCCTAGTACCATTTGTTGCCGTTGTTGTTGTTGTTGTTGCAAAACTGTTTACCAAACATTAGGCACACCGGCGTCCCTCCAATCATTGCCATTGTCGGCTATTCGCTTTGCTGTCGCCGTCGCGGTCGCGGTCGCAGTCGGCGCACCGGCGCATAACGGGCACCAGCACAGCTGTTCAAGTGGCCGGCGCTTGCGTGTTTTTGTGTGTGTGTGTGTGTGGGAGGGAGAGAGATTGTCTAAAGTGTACTTTTGTCACCTGCGTCATTATTGTGTTTACTATTTTGTAGCTGATTCAAGTGCACTGCGAAGCGGCCTGCGTTTTAATTCATTTGTGCCCCAGCTCTCTCAAGGGCTTGCACGCGCGCGCGAGTCGCTCGCACACGAAACTATGATTATCGCAAATATTTCGATTTACTCATAAATCGCTAAGGCGTTTCAGTATCTCTTCTTCTTCTTTTTCGTATGACTTCTTTGTGACGTCAATACCATGACAGGTGTTTCAATATTTACCTCCCTGTGCCATTCACTGTGCGACGCGTTAATTGAGCTTAAAATATGATTATATGACACCTGCCATGCTAATATCTTGATTTCGATGCTTATCAATGGTTTATGACTCTTTAAAATATGTGACAAATTTTTAAAAGCCATAGTATTTCCTCATGCATATATTTATGTTTTTATCGTGTGCCCGAAGAATAACAAATTTATCCTGATACTTTCTGCGTAAACTTATCTTAAGCTAAAATGATTTTCGATGTGCTCATTTCCTATTCATACAAAATTCAATCGAATTAAAATATAACGTTCAAAGTATCAATTCTTATTGTTCATATTTAGGAATAACCGTATTTAATTATGCTTGAGTATTTTTCACCAAATGACATTTTGCACAAATTAATTTCAATTTGCACAAGCCTAAATTCATCAATTCGCTGAACCTGAACCTGAAACATTGCGAAATTGGAACAAGCGAATTGGGCTAAGCA